CTCACATCCTCCGTAAGAAGAGCAGCACTGCTACCACCCACACTCCTCTCTGAAATACCTGGTACAAATATGTGTGAAATCTGTGGCATTTTTAATTTTCTTTATTGTTAATTTCTCTCTGAATTTTGTGTTGATACAGTGCTCTTGCAGTTACCCTTCACTGCAGTGCTGTTGCTCTGTAACCAGGCTTAGAGCAGATGCCTATACTGTATCTAAACGTCTTGAATGCATACCAGTGGAGTGAGGTGTATCTGAGAATGCCTGGAGGACTGTACTTGGCCCTGCAACAGAGATGTCAGATATCCACCATATGGCTTTTTATAGAGCTATATGTTTGTCTAAAGTACAGGCAGGGGTTAGGGTTGGTATTATAGCTGAGGCTAAGGTAAACATCATGCGTGATTGAACTGGCTTAACATTGTCTCAATATTGTGGTAAAATTATAGGACCGTGAGGACTTTGGGGCAGTGATGATTGTAATCTTGTCCATGACCAATCTGTCAGCTCTAGTTCCTGGTCTGATTGCTATGTATATCTTTGTTTGTATGATTATTGTGGACTTAAGAAGGACAGAGAGAGACCGTTTGATATTCCTTTGTAGCAGCAAGACTAGAGGTGACTCGATCTGTCTGGCACCTGAGGACATTTCCCTGCAGCTGGTTGTTGGCATACTCACTGGTATCAAAAATGTGTGTTTATCTCTGTTGTCCTAAGTTGCTAAGGAAAGATTTATTGCATAATTGCTGTTATCGGTAATGAGCAGAGGATGTTGGACCCTGAAGAGACCTGATTCTAGGCCATGTTCATGAGTCAGGATGAAGCGGTGCCAGTTCATCAGCTTTCCTTTTGGCTTCCATGTCTTTAATGATCAAAGTCAAATGGCTTTGGATGCAGGGTAAAGAACTTGGAGACAGTGCTTGAGAATCCTGCTGTTACATGTCTGAAAGAAACGTAATGTAAGTGTGCGAGTGAAGCTGTAGCTTTTGAATTTGTCACCTCCAAAGTTGGCAGACAAACTGGCACCTAATACCAAATAACAGATGTTTCTAATCAACTTACAGGTGTTCCTAACTAACTTGGCCATTGTGCAACGTTGTAGGTATATTCATACCGATAGAAAATGAATGAGAAATTAGCTAAATGTAATAAAAAAGATGTTGCAATATGTGACTCAATCACATAGTTAAATGCCAGTTCATTCCCTCATGCTCCTTTTTGACTGAGTCAGTTTAACTGCACTCTTGCTTTCCATGACCAGAAATGAGTCTGTCAAACCCAAAAATGTTGATGGCAGAGGAAGAGAATTTGCTCCACAACCAAAAATGAAAGTTAGACCATCACCCAGCTGCCAAAAGAAGCAAATATTTCTCTCGCTGTGTCATAAGGGAGAATGGGATGTTTTGCTTAGCTGCAGAAAGGCCAAGAGTGAAGGAAGCCATGGAAGAGGCATGCATGCATGGAGCTTACTAATTACCATTTTCTAAACAAAGAATTTGTTCCTAATGAGCATTGTTGTATTTCTATACAACATCTAGAAACAGATCACAAGACCTATGAATACTATATGGTAGGGAGGGGAAAGATAGGCCGGAACTATAAAGTGGAATCCATCAGGCCATCATGTTATCGATTGTTTTTATCAGTAGAAGTTGTCTTCCCTGAGGGGGTAAAATAGGATTTGGATCTCCATTCACTCATATTACATGGAAAAATAATAATAAATAATGGAAATGTTAACTAATGAAGTAAGTTTAATTTTTGTCTTATATACTTGATGCAATGTTTCACAGTATTTGGATTTTGCCACAAGCACAATATTCCAGTAAATACTTATATGACCGCTAAAATGGCATATCTGACTGCTGCTTTCATAATTTGTAATCTTTTCACAGATCCTAATAAAATGCCCTCCTTCCCCTCCAGTCATCACAGACTGCCCTAGGGAAACCAAATCCTTTTCTGATTTGTCCCCATCTCCCCTTGAGAATCTCCTCAATGACTCCCATCGAGACAGTATTCATATTATTGTCTGAACAGCTTCAGAGACTAGAATAAGTTTATGGTGGTTTCATAATTTCCATGCTCTGATCACAAAAGGACACTTGTTTGGGCCTCTTGTCTCTCAGTCATTTCCTTGTTGAGGGTTAAGGGGAGGAGTGGCTCTGTGGACTGTGGCGGCTGACAATCTCACATTGTGTGAACTGGTGCTGCTTCACAAAGAGCCCATTGTGCAGAGCGGTGGCCCAGGGAGAGGGGACTGGGTCTAGGCTAGGTGACAGAGAGGTGTGGGTTCGGGGGGCTTGGGTCTGGGGGCTAGAGCTGCCATTGCTGGCCCAAAGTAGGGGCGTGTATTCGTGCTCAGCTGACACAGTGCTGGGGCAGGGAGGGTGCACACGTGTGACAGGAGTCCCGTGCTGCTGGCCACACGACTCCAGTGCAAAACATATACTGTACTCCCACCCTGCCACCACCTACTTCATATAAGCACTCTAATCTCTCAGAGGTGAGCTTTATGGAAATTGGTTTTTAATCAGAGCTGTTGTCAGTCTGATTTATTTTCTGTGTCCAAGAGAGTCCAACACTGTCATTATAGAACTAGGGGCTTAATCTGCTTGTACAACTGTTCCCAGAATTTGAAATATTTTGCTGTTTATCCTCTTCTGACTCCAGCTCAAGGACAGGCCCACATGTGTTGCGTACTCTAGATTTGTTTACTCAGACAGATGGCCTAGCAGTCCAAAGTCAGAGTCCACAAACCCCTTTTTTTCTGCTGCACTGCTGTTATCCATGACCACCAGCTTGAGACTTAATCTCCCTTTTCTCAGCCCATACTGTTCTACTCTCCATCCCCAACCCTCCTTCCTCTTGCCATGTCTGAGAGTGACAGGGCTCTCAGGTCAAGCTGACGCCAGTCTCTCTGTCGAGTCTGAAGCAGGCCTAGGCCCTCGCCCAGCTGTCCCAAGGTCTATTTGTCCGTCTGTCTGTCAAGCCCGGCTGTTGCCCTGGCCTCTCACCTTGGTGTCAAGAGCCCTTTGGTGATGGAACATTTTAAAACCACAAGCATAAGAAGTTGAGCCAAAACATAATGGGCAGTTGTGCCTCCGTGACACACTTGTTTCACCATTGTACAGGAGTCATTGCAAAGGTTATGCTACCTGTCCTTCCATTCTGCCTCAAAATGTCTTAGCCTAGTTGAACCAACCTACTATCCTCCTCGTTCTAATTTGCTGTGCCAAATTTTGACTCTGCTATCTCTTACAATACAGACGGTGGTAAAAGAGTTGAGGATGAAAGTGACATTTAACAGTGACAAAGTAAACAGGGCCTCTCATCTGCCCTCAGGGTGGGATTACCACGAACTGTTAACTATTGACTTCTCTGTCTACATTAGAGGCCATCTATGGGCTCCAATTGCTCTGTTGCTGACAGGCTATGGTTATGCTGCACAAATTGGGTCCTTGAGTTAGATTTATTTGGTCAGTAACTAACATAAACGTGATACCTTTTAATTTTGTTTCCAGCTCTATCTCCTAATATATTCCAATTTGCTGAGGGCTGTAATTTATCATCTGTGGCTACCTGGTACTTATAGCTGGGAACCACTATGATATTTTGGTCTGTGTGTTTAGTGCAGTGAAAGTATGGTCCAACAGCTAACCATGCCCAGTGTGCTTAGTTATGCAGTTACTTCATTGAACCAATATAAATCCCTCAGTCAACATAAGATTATCAAGGCTTCTCCCATTGCTCCTGTAAGTCCTTTGGAGGTCAAACTAATCAAAAGTCAGTTTTCTGAGCTAGTAATATTTGTAGTAATGTGTGTGCATATATTTGCCTTCTTTTAAGTACTGTCTTTCTAAGAATGCATCTGCTTGTTTTACTGACTAATGTACTCATTTAAACTGTAACTTTAAATTGAACTGTATTTCTAGCACGACACGCTCACTCAGAGCGATGCAGTGCAATGGACTATAAATAGATTATCTTATCTGTTCCAAGTTGAGCTGCCATGTCTCCATTCATTGTAAATGAGCCGTGACTACATACAAAGCCACTGTGTGCTTACATAAACCTGCATGTAAAACCTTAAGTCATTGTACACAAAGTGGTATTATTGTAGAAGTCCTGTGGTCACGTTATTTATGGCTAACAGATGGCATCAATGTCAGCATGCATAGTTGGGTTTACACCTCACAGCAAGGCATCAGACAGATTAAACTCAAAACCGCTCAGTGAACCCATGAACTTGCACTGTTTATAAATGGAACGGTCCTTTTCACAGGTCATTTCAGGCTCTTTCTAGCTGTACAATATACAACATGGCTGTGTAGATCGGGGCTGAACTACCAAAATTGCAGGCTATATTCACATTGGAACAATGTTACGATGATGATAATGAACAATTGAAATAATTTTAATGTAAAACAGTCTAGTTTATTTGATAAATAATGTAAATTTGTATTATGTAATGTCTTTTGTATGTACCTGATTCTAGATACCACAATTTTTTAACTTCAAAAGTGTGCTTGCTTATTTAACCAGGACTTAAAGTGCATCATTATTACTGTGTTGATTATGGACTTAAGCCTGGATTGAGTGGCGACTATTAACAAAATACAATAATGTCACACTGAGTCCATCAGAGTTGTGAACAACTACTTAATTTCCCCGTCTGAAAATCACCCTAATTATTGTTAGAGCTGTACTTTCTTGTACAATCGGAGCTAGTGAAGTAAAAAGCTGCATATATGATGTAATTATGTAATTGCCGTCTTTTGAAATGCTGCAATACATATCACAAGGCATAGAAATATCACATTGAGCCCTAACAAGAACATTTGCCTGTGCACAGACTGTTATATCAGTGCGCGTCATGCCAAGGCTTGGCATGAAAATTAATGCTAGGGTGGATTGTGTGAGAAGACGGACCATGTGGAGGGATATGTGGGCACGTCTGTTCACTTCCACATTTAACAGTGTGTCTCTGTTGTGTCCTGCAGCCCAGCACTCTACCCCAGGGTACAATCAATATGAACCAGTGCTCTGATGTCGTTGATGGAGAGTCCAGGACAGGTCAGAAGAACTCGCTGTGCATCCTGACCCCTGAGAAAGAGCACTTCATACGGGCTGAGTGTAAAGAAATTATCAACGGGTAAGACATAGTAACCATGAATGTGATCTGTTACAAATAGACAATCTGCCATTATCCCTTTTTATATGTGTGATATACAATAACTGTGGCCTCAGGTGGGCAGTATGGTTTGTGTTGCTCTCTTTGGTATGAGTGGATAGGGATGACAGAGACTTGGACAGGGGAGAATAGTTGTGCTGTGCACAACTGCCTCTGCTGCCAAAACTGCTCTGCCCCCTGCTGTCTCTTTTGGGCTGTGCTTTTCTGAGACTTGTAATCCACACTGCAGTGACAGTGCACATTCTTGAACTGTTTCCTCTCCCTGCCTCTCTAGCCCCTCTCCTTGTGTTCACCAACCCCCATATGCCTGCTCACAGATCACAATACACAAGCTTTAAGCCTCATTATTTGGTCGTTTCTTGTGTGTTTCCTCCACTGCCTGTACATTCAAAAGTGTGTTTCTGCACTGCACTCTTCATCCTTGGCTGTAGCATACATATTATGGCTATTCTTAGGGAACTGTGACTAACAACACCCACTCTCCGTTATGCTACCTGCTCTATCACTGTATTCCTCCTACTCTGTCATCTGCCTCCCATGTGTTGGTTCTGGGCCATCACACAATCATATTAGCTTGCAAAGTTGCCAATAACTGACAACCAGGATTTTTAAAATATACATGTAATATTTTGCATGTTTTTCCTAGTTATGTTAGGCTCCTTACAAATGTCTTTTGACTTGTGTTACAGTATCAAACATAGCATCCATGACAGTTTATAGTGTGACACCAAATGCTTTCACTGTACAAAGTGGGTGGAGTAGAAAAGTATTTGATAATGCATGAGTGTTTCTGCATCATTGTCACTTGATTAGTCTATTCACAAAAGAGCCAGGGGTTTCTGCATTTTGCCTTATTTTACAATTACATGAGGACTAATGTTAATCTTTATAGCTGTTTTCAGATTATATTAGTTATATTTTGTCCACTTGATCATTCTTATTTTTAGTGAGTTTTTAGTAGACTAAAACGCTGGACATTTGTGATTTGTTTTATACACTGCAAACCATTTTACAAAAACCTTTACTACTTTAGTAATTTTTTGGGGCAAAAACATTGTTAACATTTTAGTTTAGTTTCAAGACCAAGAGTGAGCACTTTAGTAAAACTAAAGCAAAGTGTTACAATTTCTCCAAATCTTTTTGATTGAAGATATAAATGTTATTACTTTGTGTGGAAATAGAATGATCTTACTACAGTGGAGTATGATGGCACAGCAGCATACATTTAATTTATTCTTTCAAAAGCTTAAAGGTCCAGTGTGTATCATTCAATAAAGTATATATCTTATCTTATCTTAGGAGAATCTATTGGCAGAAATGGAACATAAATATTCATAGGTATGTTTTCATTACCAATCACCTGAAAATAAGAACTGTTACCTTTAGAATGAGCCATTTTTATCTAGAGTCAGCGAGTCCTCTTCTACTGAGTCTGCCATGTTGAGCTGCCTTGTTTCTACAGTAGCCCAGAACGGACGAACCAGACACAGGCTCTAGATAGGCCCTTTCATGTTTTTCTCATCCACCGTAGTTTCTCCTACACACTTAGAACAGGAGGGTGAGGTGACGAGGTTGCAATCAGAAACTGCTGCTGCTACTAAATACTACACACTGGTCCTTTAACTAAATATACTCTAGTTTGTCAGGTAATAGTGTCCTCATGAACTGCGCTTTTAATAAAAACGATTTTTAGTCCTCACAAAGAGCAAAAAAGCAAACATAAATGAATGAAAATAAATGTAACCATAATGTACCAAGATGCTCTACAACTAGGGGATAAGACACTGACTAAAGGTGAGATTAAAGAAAACTTTAGAGGGTGTTTAATCTATTATGTTATGAATCTAGTGTAGTTGCCTCTTTTTCTGTCTGTTAGTAGTATTAGGTAATGCTCATGCTTTTCCTGGCAAGTATAATACTTTCTATTTGGCTACAGAGAACTTTGTTCCAGTCATGTATTGATCCACCATGGGGGCTTGGTTTGTATAGTCTGCATCTAGTGTCCCAAGAACAACAATTTGACTGTATCACTATTCGTAGGTGGCAGGAGGCTCTGACTGTATATCCCAGGACCAACAAGCAGAACCAGAAGAAAAAACGCAAGGTTGATCCACCCACTCACCAGGTAATGCACGTGTTCACACACTCTGTAGTGAAGTGTTTTTACCTTGCTCATACTTAACAAGGTAAGAGTAGTAAGCAACCAAACTCAGTTTAAGGTCAGTGTGATATTTTTTATGTATACCTTTTTGTATTTTCTATCAATGGGCTCTTAAATGCTGCCTAAATCCTGGCACCCATAAACCAATGGCCCCCTGTGCATACATGTATAGCAGGGAATAAGGAGAGCATGGTGTCACAACTTTAGTGATTACATGAGATTGGTCATATCGGTACCAAGTGCAGCAGTAATTCTGATGCAAATCTCACTTAGTATCTGTGCTTGTAGGACATCATCTGTTTTATAACTGAAGTATTTCCAAATGACAGGTAATGAGCTATTTTTGGCTGCTAGTATGCTTTCATGCTCACATGTTGAAGGTGGATATGACTTTGTTTCAGCACTGTTCAAGATAAGGTGAATATTATACATGATCTGCATACAACTGTGCCATTGCTTCAACAAAGACTGAGTGAGTGAGTGAGTGAGTGAGTGAGTGAGTGAGTGAGTGAGTGTGTGTGTATATACTATTTAAGGACAACATATGCTGTGGAAGTATGCACAATGGAGGCTTTTCATTCCACTCAAACTACAGAGAGAGAGAGATGGTATTTTTTTCTGTCAGCAACATGACATATTTGTCAACTGATATGCCACGTGTCACATGTTACATCTAAATTAATTCCAGTGGTCATTTGTACGATGGCAAAGTAATTACAGTGTGAACATTTGTTATTAGGCAGCAAGCATAAGAGAACTATCAAAATATTCCTGAGCAAATAATCAAGGTTAGGGGTAATTTTGACAGCTGCTTGCTAAAAAAACATTCAGCAGTGACTTTCAGCAATGTGACCGTGAACCTCTCGCTTACGAATTTGCTGGTGCACTCTGTTTCATTGTTACGTCCAGCAGCTGCTGTCCTGTCTGTTCATTTATCAACCTTGTGTGCCTGATCAAAACAGATTTTTCTTAAAAATCATCACCTATGTGCCCTATGAGTGTGAGCATGGAGGAATGGGACAATACTGTGAAATTACATGTTAACTTAAGCAGAAGCATTTCTGAAATAAAAACAAACATCATGCCTTTCATAAATGATTTTTTCCCCCCTGACTACCTCATGTCACCCCTATTTTTAATATTACAATGAACTAATCCATGTAGCGCTGTTTGTTAGCTGACTATCCAGACTGATCGCCCTGTAGAGACTTTCTCTTTGGAGAGCTATGTGTATCTGTAAATAAATAACATTATATGAAGTATATCTACACACATATTAGGGGCTAAAACCAAAGAACAATTGTGTTCAACAGTCTGAGAACAAGGTGAGCAGTGTCATTTAAGCCAGTCATGTGACATCCATTAGGAACACAATGCCCATAGGGAATAAAAATGCACTTTTCATGTCAGTGCAGTCACATGTCTCCCTGGAAGGTAAAATAACAGGACTAGGTAAAGCTTTATTACCATAATAATGGTTCCAATGACAAGAAAAAATATAGGCATATCACGTAATGTTCTACAGACCACCCACTGTGGGACACAGTTTTTCCCCTTCCCTACCTCCTTTTTGAAGTGAGGCCAAAATTGTGGTGAGTGCGCACAATTATCTCTGAAGTTCATTATCTGGTTCCTCTAATGACGGCGCCCTGAATCAGACTGTGACCTTTCTGGGCTTACACAGGGCTCATTTGCAGAGAGACAGTGGTGACACGGTGATGACCTTGAACTGTGTCCCATGTGACCTCTTTCATTTATGTATGGCTTTCTTTGTTGAGCTGTTGATCAACAATACTTGATGTACACATGTGAGTGTACCTGCTGTACTCCATTATTAATGGACTGTCCATTTTCATCTTATTGGCAAAATGCAGTGTTAAGCTACTACTCATAGACTTAAGACAGTAATAGTGACGCAAGATCAACCATTGCTCTGTAAATCAGATGCAGATCTAACATGTACAGACGGCATAAACCTATGATTGTATTCTCTGAGTTACTGATATCTGCTTTATTGCACAGAACCTGGTTGATGCTGTACAACAGGCATACTCCCATCTTTTTTTTTTGCATGTGGGTGAAATAGGAATCGCATGAAATAACAGTCAGGTGGTCAAGGCCAAGCCACATGCTGATAATGTGTGAGGGTGATTATGCATTCACTGCTTGTCTAATGTCAGTTTCTACCATTGTCTCATGGGCTGTTCAGTTGTTCCAGTATGAAAATGTGGTCTAGATTTTCTACACTTCACACTTCCCAACATCTCCTCCCACTTTGACTTACTGGAGGACATGTGCTTGGAAACTGTTGTAAATACTTGAGTATAGTGACGGTGTTTGCTTTCTGGGTGGTTCCCCTAAAATGAAGCACCTGACCTTGAGTACAACAAGATTACATGACAGGCAACTTGTTTGTGTCTCATATTGTAACTGCAGAGAGTCTAAAAAGAGATTTTACTTTCAGATTCTTGTGTTGGCTCTAAAGCAACAAAACACTTAACCTCTCGTAATAGTGCTGTATTTCATAGATGTTAATGGATTTGGCCTACATAAGAAGAAAATTAAACATCATAGTTCAAATAATACTGAAATTATAAAATCATTGGGACAGATTTTTAGGGTCAACCTGTAATAATTATAATCAGCACTACATAGCATGCATTAACATCAAAGGCTTTTTGTGATTGGCAGGGTGGAGTAACTCCAAGCCAGTGTTTTTCCACTGAAGACATGAATGGACACCCAGTGAGTTCAGCTTGGGCTCAACTTTTTATCCTGCTTTACTCTTTGGCTTTGGAATCCCAGCCCTAATAGATAATATTTATTATATCCTGATCAATCCAGGTGAAGGGTGAATAAAAAGGACATGATTTTTGCTTCTCTCATTTCTTGCGCTCTGATACTGAAAGATCCATAGCACAACAGTATGTTTGTGGTGATTACAGTAGGCTGATGTTTGAGGGTCACTTTGCTTTGGAAGTCTTGCTTTCTCTTCTTATGAACTCAAATAATCATCTGCTGATTCCAAGACGAACTGGTGACATCAAACCGTAACACACAAACACTCAATCATGACCCAATGAGTGTATTCTTTAATCAGATGAAGATGATCTTTTATGATTTTTATCTGAGAAATTCTATCCCAATACATTCCTCCTCTGCAGAATCTTTGTTCTGTTATTTTGTTCTCTGTATCCCTCAATAATACAGGTGTGTTTGCCATGAATGAACTCTTTGTTCTTTGTCAAGCTGTCAGTCTCTTTCTCCTTTCCACACATCTTCCTCCTCCCTTCCCAGAATTAGTCATTTTACCAATGATGAAAGCAGTTTTCTTTTGCGTTGTCACTGTGATATTCGTGTTACCTGACACATACACATAAAAATCTAACAAGTCAAAGAAGCTAAATCAAAAACGTGATGTGAAATCATGTGCCACCAAACACCAAGACTGAAGCCATAGGAGATTACTGTGCTGTGCGTCAGATGTACTGGAAGGAATTAATAAGTGAGATAAGTGGTATTGTGATTGGCACATGATTGGACTCAACAGCAGACTTGCAATCAAGCACATATAAATCAAGAAAAGATATTACTTACTTGAATTTTCACATTCACTTTTCAGCATTTAATTGTTCTTCAATTTCTTTCTTTTTTGTATTCCTTCTTGTAGTCTCTGTGTGACCTTACCTCCAATTATGTCCTCTCCTCTTCCCATCCACTCCTTCCAACCCAAACCCTCAAACAGGAACCTGGCCCTGCCAAGGTGACCGTGACCAGCAGCAGCAGTGGAGGAAGCATACCTTGCCTGCCCAGCAGTATCGCCAGTGCTGAGCGTGTCCCGATGAGCCGTGCCACTCTGTGGCAAGAGGAGAGCCGCTGGAGCCGGGCCACCATCCCCTGCAGCCGCAGTGCCTCCTGTATCAGCCAGCTGAGCCAGAGCCAAACAGACTCCAGTATCACCACTCAAGATGGTGAGGACTAAGATGACGACATGCAATTCCTCAACATCCTGTATATTTGCTTCAGCTGTCATTTCACTCATAAGATTACTAGATCACTTTAGGAAACATCTTGCTAGTCACAGCTAACATAAAGACATTGTCACATGGCAAATCTGCAATGACCTGGGCTCCACATTAGCTTAGTCTCTGTTTTATGTAACAGATACGTAATACATGATATGTATATATGTGTGTAATATTTTCACATATCTAGCACTATATACAGGCTGTTTTGGGTGTTAATCAATGGCACTGTGTTCTTCTTGTTTCAGATAGCGGCACCATAAGCACTGGGCGCAAGGTACGAGTGGAGAGTGGTTACTTTTCCCTGGAGAAGACCAAGTCGGAGCCCTCTCCACAGTCTTCACAGCATTCTCCACCCCAGCATCTGCCCCTGTCCTCCTCAGCATCCTCCTCCTCTTTAGGAGCTCTCAGTCCCAGGTATAACTCTGAGTCAGAACCCCAGATTTCCCCTTATCAACCCTCCCAAGATCCTCTTCCTTCTCCAGGTGCACTTGTTTCCCCCAGCTACTCCACCATCAGCTCCTCTCAGAGCTCACTGGACTCTGAGCCCAGTGGGACTACACCCACCTGGGAGCGACACAGTGGTGGTGGAGGAAGCACTGGTAGTGTCAGTGGCGGAGGAGGCAGAGTGGGCCGTTCTGGCAGGGAATATGCAGCACTGTCTGATGTTCCACGGGCTCGCAGACTGAGTTATCGCGAAGCCTTTCGCTCAGAGAAAAAGCGCCAAGAGCTGAGGGCACGGACACGGAGTCCTGGCAGAGAGGAGGTGGCTCGGCTGTTTGGGCAGGAGCGCAGGTAAGAGGTTATAGATAAGTGTCATGCTCGGCACACTGAAAAAAAGATTCTTCAGAGACATTTTAAGTTTGTGGCAACTGCTTTCTGAATAAATGCTGAACACATATCACATAGCAGAAACATACATGCAGATTCACTTGTGATAATAATGGCAACCAAACATAATAAATAATCATTAATGAGCCACTGGTTGTTAGCCCTTGGTATAGTATTAAAATATAGATAGCATGCCAAGTAATCTATTATGTGAAGTTCATGCATTGCTTAAAGCATTCAACATTTTAGTTTTTTAGCACCACCCTGTGGCTGCTGTCCTTGAGGCATTCATACCTACCCTAGCTTACCAGTGGTTTGCCATTAATGATTTGGGAGATTTAAGTGCATGTGTTATTTTCTTTTCTATGGATCTCTACCTTTTGCTCTTGCTACTTTGCTAGTTTGTTTTGTTGTTTCGATCTTTTCCAGGGGCTTCTGAACAGAGCTTCTCAGATCTAATGCTCAACCAACCCCTCCACCCCTGTCCCAATGCTGTTCCCTGCTGGTCACCGCTGATTCCTGCTTTCTATCATTTCATCTCTGCACTGCCTGGGAGCACAGACATACACTGTTTCATGAATGCTTTACTGTATATATTGTGCATACTCAAATATACTGAGGGTTGGTACTAATGGTGGGTTTACATACAGTTTGACCTCCTTTCTCATACAGAAACACACCCCACACACACACACACACACACACACACACACACACACACACACACACACACACACACACACACACACATTAACAAGTGCAGTGCCTTAAGGTAAAGCTGACTGTGTTGCCATTGCTGCTACTTCTGCAATTTGATTAATCCGCCATCCTAGTCATTTTCCTTTTCTTCCAAAATTTAATCTCTCATCATATAACACAACTCTTTATTCTTTGATGTATCTATGGATTGGGTAACACTTTATAATGAGTACACACTATTAAGCATTAGTTAAGCATGAATAAATACTGAATTCATCATTTATAACGCATGAATACACATTAGTATGTAGTTTATAAACACAGTTAAAAATGTTTTATTCATCATTGATAAGCACATTAGTTATGGATTAGTAAATACTGAATTCATCATTTATAAAACATGTTTCTGCTGTAAATAGTCATTACTATGTGGTTTATAATCACAGTTATAAATGTTTTACTCTTCATTGTACTGTAGATTTCTGCATGCACTTGCACATCCACTATTCAGACATGTATTAATGATTAGTGACTGTGTCAGCAGATGTTCTATAAAACTCACAACAAATTCATTTTCTAATGATGGCCTATAAACAGTTATTAATGCAGGAATTCACAGTTACAAAGCACTTACTACTCGTTAATTAAGTATTTTGCACGAGCTTATCTAAAGTGAGCACGATCTATGGCTTATTAAGGATTTACAAATGAGATATAAAGGCTGACAATGCCTCCAGACTCACAAAATGTTCAGTTATCTTAACAGATGAATGAGAGACACAACACAAAGGCATATAGAACATATTGTATTGATATTTACTGCAACTTCCCAACATATTGTATGAAGACGAACAAGGGTGGTTTATGAAGACATGCTATTGTTGTGATCTTATCTGTTTGGGACGTGTACGTTGAGCTCCCGCTCTCAGCACGTCATCAACGTGATGACGTGCTGAGAGCGGGATGTTACGTCATATTTACGTTAGCTCTCAGAAGTTTCTGACAGTGCAGCCAAGAGGAGCATGGAGAAGCACATTGGAGTCGGCGGCCGTCAGCGGCTCTAGTGGAGAGTATGTGTCTTTGTTTGGTAGCACACATTATGGTTGAAAGATAACGTTAGCTTGTCACTAACGTTACCGACCCGCCCGCTGCTAGGCACTCACCTCGCCCGGCTAGACGAGACTAGGCTAGGTCGGCTTAGCCACCGCGGGCGGGTCGGTAACGTTAGTGACGTTAGTGACGTTAGTTGGGGAGCGAGAGCAAACACCTGCAGCTGCTGACAAGCTAACGTTATCTTTCAACCATAATGTGTGCTACCAAACAAAGACGGCCGCCGACTCCAATGTGCTTCTCCATGCTCCTCTTGGCTGCACTGTCAGAAACCTCTGAGAGTTAACGTAAATACGACGTAACATCAACGTGATGACGTGCTGAGAGCGGGAGCTCAACGTACACGTCCCAAACAGATAAGATCACAACAATAGCATGTCTTCATAAACCACCCTTGTCGCTTCATAAATATGTTGAGTGCAATAAATATCAATACAATATGTTCTATATCCTTTTGTGTTAAGTCTCTCCTTCCTCTGATAACTGAACATTTTGTGAGTCTCGAGGCATTGTCAGCCTTTATATCTCATTTGTAAATGCTTAATAAACCATAGATAGTGCTCACTTTAGATAAGCTCGTGCAAAATACTTAATTAACGAGTAGTAAGTGCTTTGTAACTATGAATTCCTGCATTAATCACTGTTTATAGGCCATCATTAGAAAATGAATTTGTTGAGAGTTTTATAGAACATCTGCTAACACAGTCACTAATCATTAATACATGTCTGAATAGTGGATGTGCAAGTGCATGCAGAAATGTACAGTACAATGAAGAGTAAAACATTTATAACTGTGTTTATAAACTACATACTAATGTGTATTCATGCGTTATAAATGATGAATTCAGTATTTATTCATGCTTAACTAATGCTTAATAGTGTGTACTCGTTATAAAGTGTTACCATGGATGGTTCTCTTTGGGGATATTACTTCTACCTTATATTGCACTTTGTTTTCTATAAAAGGGACTTTGAGTCTAGAATGATATGTAAATGCTGTGCAGTAATGGCCATTAAGTAATTGCCATTAACTGAAACTACTTGTATCCATTATGGACATGGCTAATATTTGCTCTCGTATCACGCCTTGTTTTTGTTTTTATGCTGATTCTGCTACCATTTGAGGATGATATGCTACATCATTATGTTTTTAAACACATTTGTTTCACTATTATGTCATTTTTAAAGAATGATTGTGATATTTAACTCATTTTAATGTTGAGTGAAATGCTGTAGGCGCTGTACATTGAGTACTTCTTTAAAGATTATGTTCATTTTGTGTCTCTTAGGCGTTCTCAAATCATTGGCCGATTCCAGGAAGGTCAGCATGTAGAGCGTATGGACACAAGCAGCTCCAATGAGCCCTCGGCTAACACCACACTAATCCAGAGACAAGGCCGCAGCGAGAGACGCTATCTGGCTAACAAACATGTATGCTATTCTCTTTGTTAATCCTGAACATCTAAATATAAAAAAAGGTGTAAAGATTGCAAGGAATTCACTGAATGGCATATGACCTACACATTGAGAGTTAGTTAGACATAATATGCCTACGTTAATAAGGAATATGATTTTATATTTTAGGAGGCGTCACTGGATGCAGGAAAGGACCGTGCAGTCTCTGATGTGTCCAGCTCCATTTTTTCGAATTTAAGAAGAGCCAAGTCACTGGACCGTAGAGTCACTGAGTCCTCAATGACTGTGAGTACTTGCACTACTTTTAAATTGTACAGGGTCCCTAGCCAGTGGACTACAAAATAATTAAGCACCGCCTTCCCACCCATGAAAACTGCCAATTGTGTTCAATAGAGCATCCAGAAGTCAATCCAAAAGCACTGCAGCAAAGATTGAACCCTTTATGCTGCAGTGTATGGTCTAGTTTTTTGTGGGTTTTTTCTCCCTCTGCACAACCTAAACGCCCAAAAGGGTAGGATTTTGACACAAGGAGGATTCAAACATTTTTGACGTACATTTGCGTATAACATGTGCATATAACAAAACACTGTTTTTAAGAACTACACCTAAGCACACAGTATGATATGGGAAATTAATTTTTTAGTTAACGGTTTGTTGGCATTACCCATTTTTGTGACACAGAATGTGAAATGATTGATGTCCTCTAGCAATTTGCACTATGCAAGATAACAAAAAAAGTATGAGCATGTAAGCATTTAGATTCAGGCATTAAGTCATCCAGTCTACTGTATGATATATGCATGATTAACTGGACCCATTTGTTTAGACATCCATGTGTAAACTTTTTGAAATGTGAGTCACAAAATCAGAGTACATTATTTAACTTCAGTTACACATGCACCCAAACACCACTGCAACTCCAAATGTGACCATATTACATCAGCACTTGTCTCCAGTCTTCAGTAGTGAGCTTAAACCAGCCCTTGAATTGCTTAAGGTTACTCTTCCTTAAGTCTGACTCCTACCAGTCTGACAAACTGCTACTGATCTCAGGTCTGTTTAGAGATTACTGCAGGGGTGATCCAGTCAGTGTGTGGTTGGTCTCTCTGGCCGTGTTGCAGCTGCCAAAACCCCCACCCACTCAAACACACACACGCACACATTCATGTACACACCGCCGCCACTGCTACTGATTATTATAAATAGCTAGCACAGAAGCAGCCGCAGTCGTGTGTATGTCCCTGGGACAGACGGAAAGAAACAGATTGTCAACATATGAAGTTAAGGCAGTTAGCCATCAGAATGACTCTCTGCCAGGCGGTGACACCACACCTGATGAAGCTCAACAAAAACAAGGTATTGTTGAGTGAGCAGAAGCCAGGTTTTGGACGAATGATTTACTTTAGAGTCTATAAACAGACTTTGAGCTTGGTTTCAATGTGCAGCAGTTTGTGTTTCACAGGGAAAGTCCAGCTCCCGCCAGTCGGTCTCTTTAGCTGGAGCAATGTATCGGCACTTAGACTTCTTGAGCTGAGGTAGTGAGTGACCTAAATGTAAACAAATGCACGTAAATGTAATAGTGTTTAGGGAGACGTCAATCATATATGATTATATCAGTGATGAATACTCACTTAATGACGACTTCTAATATAGTGACAAATACGTGCAAAAAGGTTTTAACACAATATTATTTTATTTGGTTTTGCTGTTCTTTGGTACAGGGTTAGGGGTTAGGGTTGGTAGCTGAATGTCCTACTATTGAGTTAATCTAGTTGCTTCACATCATATCACATCACTCTCATCTGTCCTAATTGCAGCCAGATCTGCTGAACTTCAAAAAAGGATGGATGACAAAGCTGTATGAAGATGGAATGGTAATTTGCTTTCATTAGAAAGATTAATTTGCTTCTCTCCCATAATGAATAAGGTCATATTACAATAATGGAGGACTGGTGAAATCAAATGAATGGTGTCTTTTTTTCCCCTCAGTGGAAGAAACACTGGTTTGTCCTGACAGATCAGAGTTTGAGGTACTACAAGGACTCAATAGCAGAGGAGGTAAAACTTCACGTAACTGTGGTTTTTGACTTAATTTGATTGAAGAGGCAATTAAAAAAACAAGGATTTTTTTGTTGTTGTTTTTTTCAGTTTTGTCTGTTAACTTTGTTTCATAGGCTTCAGAACTGGATGGTGAGATTGACCTTTCCACATGCTATGATGTCAAAGAGTTCCCAGTGCAGAGGAATTACGGTTTCCAAATCCTGGTGAGTGTTGATTCTTCTTGTCATCGATTGTCCTGCGTCATTAATCACCAGCAAAGATGAAACTCATTGTCTACACACTTGAGCTCTTCTGTCTCCTGCTAGTCTATAAACAGCTTTAGACACCATGTGGTGCAACTTTAGGTATCAAGTTTTGCCATTTCTCTTTCTGAAGCGATTCTTTGTCTGTCATGATGGATGTCCCTTGACTTGTCATCTCTCTGTGAGAGGCTGACATCATACCGGTCTAAATCTGCTGCAGCCAATGCCAACCCTGCTTGTTCCTTTTGAACATGTGACCCTCATCCTGCACAATATGTTTACCTAACCTCTTGCATTCAAAAGGCCTGTCGTCGTCAACATTTGCTCTACACACACACACACTTATGTTTTTGGTAGTTTTTACTCTGAACCATAATTGCATAACAGTTGTGCAATTCCATGAATCCTGCTGCACGCCCTATGACAGAATACTTTCGTCATATAATCCTTTGACTATTAAACATTTTTAGCACTTGTTGCTGGCAAAATACTTACTGGACGCATATAGTTGCGATGCAATGCATTCGTTCTCCTTTTGATGTCAGTGGGGTTTTTGTTACTGTCACATGTAGACTTAAATTTGCCATACTAATCCTTTATGAGGAGAACCATAGCTACAAGGTCATTTCTTTTGTTTACATTAGCTTGAAGCAGCTCCCCCAGCTATTTTCTGGAGGATGTCTGAAATAGAGATGTCGAGGGGATCGTTGTCTCTTTGGCTAAGAACAACATGGGTTTGGTGTCGAGAAATTAATAACTCCAGTATTTATGTCTACTCCCTCCGCTCCATGGTCAGACGGGAGGGGGCTGTTGTTCTGTCATTGCAGCAAAAGCATTGTAGACTTGAACACTAATTAAAATTGTTATGTCTGGAAGTTTTAATGAATAACTGTGGTCATGGAGGAAAAAGACTTCCACTAGAGGTCACTGTATATAAGGCTTAAGTTAAAGTTATTGCAGATACAGCTGAGTTACAAAGCCTTTGAGTGTAGGATACCACTTTTTACAGGGATTTATATTGCTTTGGTTTTGAAGACAGATGTCAACTTAATGTAACATTGTGGAATTATATATCTAAAAGATACATTTGCCTCAACTCATTTTTAAAGCCAGACACTATTACCATTAAATGGTATTTGTACAAATTCTAAAGAATGAAAATTGCACATAAATGATTACAAATGTCTTGCCTAAAGTAATAGGATTGTGAAAGAGTCAATAGTAAAACTATCACTATAGGGCAGTCAATTTAAAACACCCATGTTGCACAGGTCTTAAGGTAAATCCATAGTGTATTCAGTGTATTTGCAGTTCAGCTGAACATAGACTTTTTGACGACGCTTTGTAAGAAAAAGTGTGTAAACCCCTGAAGGCAGCAACTGCAATCAAGCTGTCTAAATTTGTGACAAAGCAACAGCCCTGAAGGGTCGAGTGCATAGTGCATCAACAACAGCAACAACAACATTGTTTTCTTCATAAAATAAATGATTTGACATCAGATTTGGTTTTTGTAAATGGTAGTAGTTATGTGTAGTGGCATTTAGTGGTCCCCTTTCGACCACGGAGGCGAATCTATAGTGGCCACAAAACTTGCAGAAAAACCTGAACACCCTTATCTAGAGCCAGTGTTTGGTTTGTCTCTACTGGGCTACTGTAGAAGCATGGCTATTCAACATGAAAGGCAACCTGCATGGGTCTGTAGATATAAAGGTTTCATTCTAGGGTACCAAAAACACAACAATTCATATTTTCAGGTGATTATATACAAATGAGAACATATGTTTGCATAATATATTCCATTTCTGCTAATAGATGCTCTCGGTTACATACGGTCAAATGTAGATTTTCTACTCACATTTAGTAAAAGAAAACAAATGAGCCTTTCATTGTCTAAGGAATGCCTCTGCTGCATATCTTAACTTTATTTGAGGCTCATACGAAAACATTTGCTTAGATTAGATTGTTGTGTTGAAAAGTTATTTTTATCGACATGTTGTCATGCCTGTCAGTCATGTAAATGCGATGCCTGTCTGCTTTCAGTGTAAAGAGGGAGCTTGCACCCTGTCAGCCATGACCTCTGGAATCCGTCGCAACTGGATTCAGGCCATTATGAAGAATGTGCGACCCACTATTGCCCCAGATGTCACCCGGTAATACCCAAAGAGGATTAACACTTTAACCACTGGCAGATATAACAACTGCTTTTCTCACTTATTATATCGTAATCCCTCTCTCCTCATCACCCTCTCTTTCCTTCTTTCTCTTCCTCCCTCAACTGGTATTTTCTCCCTGCTTCCAGGAAAAACATCTCTCTGAAACTATCCGTTCTGAAGCCCAGGTTGGAGTGCTCGTGTGTTGAATATCTCCCCCTCCTCGAACAGTGATGTTATTGCTCAGCAATGTCAGCCCCAGCGTGTTTGTCGTCCCACCCTATGTCATGTGATTGTTGAGTAATGTCTCCCTGTCAGTTGTGCCACTGTAGAGACACGCACTGCAATCACATCAACATACTAGAATAATCTACCCAACCTGCTGTTGAGGAACAGCATATACTTATTTTAATATTTAATATGTGACTATTCAGTAAGCTTTGGGAATGTTCACAGAACAACACAAATTCACAACTGAAGATGGAACGAGTGAATAGAGAGAAGAGCTGGGATATAAAGATCTTTTTTTACAGTTTACCTGATGATTTTTTTACAACCTTAACATTTATTTTTGTGTGCTTAAAAGCTGAGTATTACCTTTCAAGTAGCTCATCCCATGTGATACTGTATATATGCTCTGACCCGCATTTACTGAGTCACACACCTTACTCTGCCTGTGTGTCTCTTTGGCAGCTCTCTCCATGCGGGGAATATGTGGTATTTTTGGTATTTGTGCATAGACGCCTTACAGACACCTTTCTCATTCTTGATCTCTGTCCCTTCTCATTTTCCCCTTACTCACACTTCCTGTCGCCCCAACGTGGTGAAAATAGATTACTCCGTCAGGTCCCTTTTTTAAAAGATGCTCTGCCCCTCTTAACACTATAAGTGCCAATCAGTGTGCAGTTTATTGCAAATGTGTTTTTCACCTTTAATAAACTATACAAATTTCATTAACATAGTCACTAAAAACCAGCTTCAGGCTTACCTCAGATCATGACTGTGAACACTAAAGCTGCTTTGAGCCTAATGCAATGTGCAATATAAGCGTTGTGATGTTTACGCTTTTTCACTGATTGTTATGATGCTTTTAATGCACAATTAAATGATGCTGCTCTGCAAGAAATGTATGCGTTGTTGTTTGTCCAGCAAAGCTCTATGTTATAGTATTGTAGCTTCTGCTGATCTAAATGTAAAAAATCATAATCGCGTTCTGTCAAATACATCTTATGTATCTTTTTAATTTTTGGTGTTTTTGTTTATTCAGATCTCTCCCCGAGGAGAAGACAAAAGCCCAAGTGATGTTGGAGCCATGTCCACAGCCCACCCCCGAGCCAAGTCCCAATACTGAGGCCCCCAAGTCTGACGTCCACAGACAGCCAGCTGGCAATAATGCCTCTGCCCCTCCCTCTGAGCCCCGTAAAAGTCGCGTTCGTGAGCGTAGACGAGAGGGTCGCTCCAAGACTTTTGACTGGTCAGAGTTCAAAATGGAACAAACAGAAAAGCCTATGAAGGAACGAGCAGAAACAGTCGATCTCAGCTCATCATTCTCCACAACTTCCTCATATTGTTCTCCCTCCTCGTCTCCTTCCTCATTAGCGTCCTCACCTGTCTCTACCTCCTCCCTCCAAACCTCTTCTGTGTCAGGTGCTCACCCACCTTCTATGACAGAAGAAGCAGAAAAGGAGAATGTTAGGAGGGGTGTTCCTCCACATAGCACGACTAGTGCAACCCACATGCCAAATACTGTTAGTGTCACCATGACTTCCACGCTAAACACTACATCCCCGGTACAGCAATCAATATCTGAATGCCAAGAGCAAGGAAAGATGGAAGTAGACCACCCTACAGCCATGCATCCTGCTAGTGGAGATAAGAAGGACAACAGAACTTCAGACGTCCAAGAAGAGATTGAGCATCGATGGCATCAGGTGGAGACGACACCATTAAGAGAAGAAAAGCAAATCCCCATCAACACAGCTTTAGGAAACTCTGGAAACTCTGACAGATTGCCTGCACATGAGCTTGCTGCGCTGCTAGACAAAGAGGTGTGTTTCCTTAATGAGGTCATAATCAATGAATATGAATGTATCCGAGCGTTTTGTGCCATTCATTATTTGTTCTATTTCTTTCTCTGTTTAGTTGGGACAGAAGCAGAAGGAGCTGGACCGACTACAGAAGCAAAACAACGTCTTAAAAGAGCAGTTGGAAAATGCACTAGGGAGAGAACAAAGTGCCAGAGAGGGCTATGTACTGCAGGTACAAGACTCACAATTCATCATGCAGGATTAGTATATGTTTAAAAATAGCAATGCAACATTAATTTTGACAAAGAAATCCTGAGCATTAAATGTCCAGAATGCTATTAAGGTTTGCAAGTAAATGTTATTAACTGTTCCACAGTACTGTGTAGATTGTATGTTTGCTACAGTCTACTGGCTCGTGATAGATCATATTTATTTGTGGCTACTATAACTTGTATAAAACTCTACTAACGGGTGTGGGTGCTTATTCTTTGAAACTGATCAGCATGGTTGTGGTGTTCTTAGCATGAGTTTTCACTAACTGTTTTTTGTGGAGTTTCACATCTCCTGGGAAAATAATTTATTTGATCTGATATGCTTAAGGTAAGAAACTTGATCAAGGAGCCTTGCGCTGTGCTTTTTCTCTTTGTTCATTTGTGCTTTGTCTGTCTGTCCTTTCCAAGCTTGATTTCTGCATGCTTTTTGGTGTTTCAGAATTGCATTCTTTAACTAAGTGCTTTTTTTGTTACATTGTGAGGTTTTAAGTTATACAGTGAACTTATCACAGAGCCAGAATGTCATTTTGTTTCATCATATCACATTTACTTCATTAGTTTGTCTGTTTTTTGTTTTTTAAATCACTGTATTAGCCTCCTATTTCTCCCAGTTTCTTCTTGTATTTTTGGGGGGTGGGAAGGTGTATTCACTAAAACCTTTCAATTTCCAAGTCACCTCTGAAAAAGCACAGTGGAAGCTTGGAAAAAATGCTTATCAAAAGCAAAAGGAGAAAACTTATTTTACTGGTAACCCCCGAGATGTGGTTCTCCGTATATGATATGGGAAGTAAGGTGATGTCATTAATGAAACTGTCTCATCAATCTTTTTCAAGAGTGCAACAGCCCCTTCCTCTTCACCGCAAAGAGTGCCATGGCAACGCTTGCACGCGCTTAATCAAGATTTGCAGGGCGAGTTGGAGGCCCAAAAGCGTAAGCAGGACCTTGCTCAACAACAGATTCGAACACTAAAGAGAAGCTACACAGAAGCCCAGGATGCTGTAGACCGCCATGAGACTGATATTCAGGCTCTGCAGACTAAACTAGCATCTGCAATGGCTGAAATCTTGGCTAGTGAACAGGCTGTGGCCAGAATGCGCAATGAGCTCAAGCTAGAGCAGGAGCGTTCAAAGGAACAAGAAGAGGAACATGGCCGTAGTGAGACCACCCTACGAGCCCAACTAAAGGACAGTGAAGATAGACTCCGTGAAGTAGAGGCCAACCTCTTAGAGCGAAACCAGGCTCTTAGGCACCTGGAGCGCCAGCAAGCCTTGCAACGAGACCACATGAGAGAGATACAGAGGCTGCAGGAGAGACTGCAGGAGGTGACTGCTCGGCTAAGTGCTACTGAAGAGGGTCAGGCACTGAAGGAGGAACGCCTGAGGAAGGAGAAACATAGCATGCAAGAGAGTCATGAGAGGGAAAGACAGAATCTATGTAGAAGATTAGCTGAGGCTGAAACTGCACAAAGAGAGGTGGAGAACAGATTGTTGGAGGCTGAGCAGCAGGTGGAGGCCCTGCTAAGAGGGAGGCAGGCCTCAGGAAGCAAAGAATGCAGGGAGGAAATGCTGAAGTTGCAAGAGGAGCTGGACCATAAGACTGACATGGTTGAGTCACTGAGGGAGAGTGTACGTAGGCTAGAAGAAGAGAAAGGCCATCTCACATGCCGCTGTCAGGAGCTAATTAACCAGATTGCAGAAGCAGACCGTGAGGTGAATAAGCTCCGCAATCGTCTGGAAACGGAAGAGGCTGATTACAACACCCTGGAGCACTCATATGAGAGGGCTACCCAAGAGTTTCAGAAAATGAGCCAGTTCCTTAGAGAAAAAGAGGAAGAGATCCGGCAAACTAAGGAGATGTATGAGAGGCTGGTGGAACGCAAGGAAGACGACTTAAAAGAGGCCCTTGTTAAAATGACTGCACTTGGCAACAGCTTGGAGGAAACAGAACAGAAATTGCAAGCTAAGGAGGAGCTTCTTTGTCAAATGAGTCAAAGCCTCTTAGATAAGGTTGAGCCCTGTAGTGCTGAAAAGGACCTGCAAGCCAAGCTTGTGGTTGCAGAGGACCGCATAGCAGAGCTAGAGCAGCATCTCAATGCCTTGCAGCTGGGCTATGCTGATCTACGCTTGGAAAGGAAGCAAAACCCAGAACAGAGCAAGAAGGGAAGGCTGAAAACATCGGCCTCCTTATCACCAAACACAGGGCTCCCACTTTCCTTTGACAAGACACCCAAGACAGAGAACCCCCCAGATGATAAGGAATCTCAAGCTAAGAGACCAAGGATACGTTTTTCCAGTATTCAGTGCCAAAAATACATAAATCTAGAGAGCATGGACACTAGTCATGTGAGCAGTACCTTTGCAGAGACGAGACAAAAAGTTAATCAGGAAGTAATTGAGGACATCCATCTAACTGAAGGAAACATCTCCTCTGATATCACATTCCCTCACAGTAGTGACCCAGAAAAGTTTATCTCTATCATACATGCCCTGGAGACTAAATTGCTGGCCACTGAGGAGAAACTAAGAAACCTTACACAGAATCTAGAAGAGCAACGATCCGTCCAAACAGAACACATGTCCAAGATTGATCTGAAGATGACAGAAACAAAGCCTAACCCTGATAAAGAGTTGAGTTGTGGAAGTGGGATACAGGGCAGTGCTGCCAATAAGCATTATGCCATGGCCCTGGTGTATGTGGAAAATAGTCGAGAGAAAGTCAAGGCTATTCTCAGTGGCTGTCATGATACCACAGATTCACAGCTACACTCATTGTCAGAGATAGAGAACGATTTGTTCAATGCATCACTGTACATCAGACAAGGACAAAAGACACTGGAGGAGCAATCACCAGTTGTCCATCAAAATCAAAATCCTGAGACTCTAGATAAAGACGCTTTGCACCTCTTTACCAAAACTCTGTCATTTGAAGCAGTAGTGTTGAACAAAATGGCTTTGTTAATACAGACTTCAAAATCTGACATCCTGCAAGCTCTTGCAGAGATATGGGAAGACATAGAAAACATTAAAAAGAGTGACAAAGATTGCTTGGCCATAGTTTATGCTGATGTCTTGACCAGGAAGTTGATGTTAGAGAGTGCATTCTGGAAAGAACTGGAGAAAGCTGAGACAGATGTTGCTAAGTCCAAAGAGGGAAGTGTTTCAGCCGATGTAGATGTTGATGCCGCTGTTATCTTTAACACCTTCATTAAAGCAGAGCTAGCCTACTCTATTCAAAACCTTAAACATTGCTATGAAGAGAAATTCCAAATTCTGAAAAGGGAGTTAACTGAAGCCCGAAATAACCTATATCAAAGGGAAATGGCTCTTAGAGCAATTATTGAAGCTTCCAAAAGACCTGATTTGAAAAATGTAATAAAAGAAGTCAAAAATAACTTTGGGTTTAGTAAACAAAAGTTAGCTGACGTTCACCCCCCTGAACTTGCTCCCTACATGGAGCAGATTAAAATGGAAGAGGCTCGAGACTTGGCTGAGGAAATTGTAGACAGACACTTGTCGGGAGAAAGTACCTCTTGTGGTGTTGACTCTATTGAATCACTGCAAAATGCACATGACAACCTGGCTAATGAGCTTCAAAGGCAAGCAGCAATGCTCCATAAGTATGCTCAAGAGATAGAAAGTGGTGGAAACCACCCTGCACTGACTAAAATGATCCATGCTCTTCTAGGGAACCAAACTTCACATAATTTCACAAGTACCTCTCTTTGTATGCGCGAAGCCCTAATCCAAGCTCAAGTGGCTTATGTTGCATGCAGGTTACGGGCCATGCATGAACAAGACTTGGGCTGGTGTCAACAGACAGGTCAAAACATGGATGCTCTTGTCCAGCAGCATGCCCACAATGTCAGTGCAATCCAAGAGAAATATGAAGCATCCTTACAAGAGGAGCGCCTGAACTTCACACAAACAGTGGGCACTCTCCAGAAGGAGAACCAAACACTAAAGAGTGAGATCAGCAAACGTGTGAATCAGCTCTCCCAGCAACAAGAGCAACTGGCTCTCCTGGAGGAGCATTTCCAGAAGGAGACTGAAGAGCTAAAGCAGAGGCACAAGCAAGAGCTGAGCCAAGCAGAGAAAAGCCGTGCCTCAACAGAGCTGGCACTCATGGAGACCACAGCTGACAGCCAGAGAAAGCTAGAGGTTCTGCTGGTGGACATGGACACCATGGAAGAGCGGCACGAGAGTCATGTGAGGAAACTGGAGGAGCAGTTTGAACAGAGGATCTGTGAGCTGCAGCAAATCCACAAAGAGGAAATTGAAAAGCTACATTCCCAGTATATGGAAAACATTCAACGTGTCCAAGAGTACCAACAGGACAAAAAAGGCCTTGATGTTTGCCATTCGCCTTGTGATGAGGCCACTACACCAATGGAAGAGGAGGAGCAGGGGAAGGGGGAGAATGCACAGAACATGTCAGAGGTAGACTCCATGGTGGTTCTGAAGGATCGGATCCAGGAGCTGGAAACTCAGATGAACACCATGAGGGATGAACTGGAGAACAAGCACCTAGAAGGAGATGTGGCCAGCCTGAGAGAGAAATACCAGAGAGACTTTGAAAGTCTTAAGGTTTTTGCTCTTTCCTTTTTCCTTAGTGGATTCTTTTCTTTTTTTTCTTTTCTTTTATAAGTCAGAGAGTAGTAGATAAATAGTTCAATAGTTCATCAATCTGCTAATGTGCACAGATAATTTGGGAAATGGTGTGATTTGAGATTACTTGTAGAATTAACACACCTGCACAGAAGATTACATACATACTTGTAATTGTAGGTTTAAGGGATGTCCCAATTTTTCCCCACAATACAGGCTCTTTAATATATAGTACCTGCTCGAGTATGAACAAAATACTGAAGTTAAAATGCAGTTTTCATCTTACAGCAGCACTTTAGAAGCATGATGCTGCAATGCATGCAAACCAATGTCTGTTTTTGCAATACAGTTCTTTTTGCATCACTTGGTGATAGCAATTGACATATCATTTGAAACTTCAGGCTGCTGTGCACTCTGGTTCACAACTTGGGGCACAGAAGATTGAAAATGACTCAGAAATGATGTAGGCAATATTAGGGTCGGACATCCCTAGTAGTTTTACATAAACACATAGTCTGCTGCAGGTTGTCACCACTTAAATACATCCTGGTTATTAAAATTGTAAAATGTCTCACTTGCCTCCAACGTTGCTTCATCATTTGGGCATCACTAGACATACCATTTCCCACATTCAGTAATAGAAGGAAGTGCAGTCTATAAATGACAAATGCAGCTCTGCTGGAATAGAATTTCACTGCTCTAACTCGCTCTCTTACTAACATAGCTGGGCTTGAGATCCTAAAAAGCTTGCATGGCTCTTTATAACTGATTTTGCATGACACACACTGTGTAGCCTAGTATTAATAGATATTGCACTGAATCTCTAGTCGCAAATTAAAATGTAGGTGGTAAGTGCAAAATGAATTTTGTGATGACACATTGTTGATCCTTTTTCCTTTAGGCCACGTGTGAACGTGGCTTTGCAGCAATGGAAGAAACGCACCATAAGGTAATACAAGACCTCCAGAGGCAGCATCAAAGGGAGATTTCCAAACTTATGGAAGAGCGAGAGAGACTATTGGCTGAGGAGACTGCTGCCACAATTGCTGGTAAAGAAATTACCTGTATTACCACTCATAATGCTGTACTTTAAACAAGGCCAAGATGCAGTGATGTGTGTGTGATCTGTCTTTAATGTAGCTATTGAAGCGATGAAGAATGCGCACAAGGAGGAAATGGAGAAGACCCATCGCTCCCAACTGAGTGGAGTGAACTCTGACATTGATGAACTTCGCTTGCAATATGAGTATGTTTTTTGACAGGGTCATTAATACTTAGAAGCATTATATTTCCTGGAAAGGAGCTCACAAGTTTATTTGACTTCTTTGATTTAGAGAAAATGTTTGTCAGCCTGTCTGTTACCTCCTTGCTGCTCTCAGTAAATACTTTGTCTTGTCTGCCAAAAAGATCATATGTAGCTTATAAACTGGAGCAACTTGTTAAGTAGCTTTTGTGAAAGTCACTAGATGAAAGGAACTCACTTCCTGGCTGGGAAACACTGGTAAACATCAGATGAGAATTCCAGTTGATATTGTGATGGTCTGACTGTCTAGGGAGGAGCTGCAGTCCATCCAGAGAGAACTGGAGGTTCTGTCAGAGCAGTACTCCCAGAAATGTCTGGAGAACGCTCACCTGGCCCAGGCACTGGAGGCCGAGAGGCAGGCCCTCAGGCAGTGTCAGAGAGAGAACCAGGAGCTAAACGCTCACAACCAGGTTTGAATGCACAGTTATGCACGTTTACATACAAAAACATTTCTGTCCACAGGTTTAAAGATAACTTTATTCTGTCCAACAGGAATTAAATAACCGACTGACTGCAGAGATTACTCGGATGCGCTCTTGTTTCAGCGGTGAAACAGCGCTGTCACCACTTACCCAGGGCAAAGATGTGTATGAACTGGAGGTATGTGTAAACACACCATGCGCGCACACACACACACACACACACACACACACACACACACACACACACACACACACACACACACACACACACACACACACACACAGAGTAAGGATTTGTTCTTTAATCTTATGAGTGTTTCTCTCCATACTATAGGTGTTGCTACGAATTAAAGAGTCAGAGATCCAATATCTCAAGCAGGAAATCCACTCTTTGAAAGATGAACTGCAGTCTGCTTTAAGAGTAAGAAAAAAAACAATCGTATGTGTTGAAAGCAATTTATTGAAGTTATGTACCTGTATCTCTTCATGTCTTGTAACAGAATAAAAAATCTGATCATTGATTACATTTCAACAGGACAAGAAATATGCCACAGACAAATACAAGGACATCTATACGGAGCTCAGCATTGTGAAAGCAAAGGCTGACTGCGACATCAGCAAACTGAAGGAGAAACTGCTCATAGCCACAGAAGCTTTAGGCGAGAGGACTGTCGATGGAACGGTCACACCTGGATACGGTACATAAAACATGTTTACGTTTAATCATTATGTACCCCCGTTCAATTACCATTGAACTCTTGATCTTTTTAAAGTCCACCTTTTGAAGGTCCAATGAGAAACATTTAGTTGAATTTGGTTGTAATTAGCATTCTCACTGCTATTTTGTTGCAGTTTTTCAGTTTCAGTTTAACATCTTTAACCCTTAAATGCATGAGAGTTTTTATTCCTTTGTACCTCTGGTATGATCTAGCACTTATATGAGGCAGATTAAATCATACGTACATTAAAATCCTATTTTAGGAAGGTATTATAAACATAACATAACAAACACAACAATTATTTTTGCCACATTTATAGATGTCAGAAATTGATTATTAAATGTAATTATATATTATTTTTTTTATCTTACACATGCAAATACTGTAACTTCTGGTTAATGTTAATAATGGCATACCTTCATTGTGTTTTTAGATATTATGAAATCAAAAAGTAATCCAGATTTCATGAAAAAGCAAATCAAGCAATCAAGAGGCGTAAGGTCAAAGGTGAGTGACAAGTTGAATTAAATAGTTTTTGCTTCCCTGATTACAGGCAGTTTGTCTCAAACATACAGTTGGAGTTAAATCCAGGCACCATTGCAGTTTGCTGTGTGATGTGATGTTCAAGCTGTTGTCGTGCAGACGTTATCACTGTTAATCGTTGCAGCTCAGCCACCTCATACTTTAGAAATGTGTTCCACAGTTGGTCGGTCAGGACATTTTTAATCTTGTCCTGTAAGTTTGTCATCTGTCTGTTTTGTCCATCAGTCTGTCACTGAACAGGTCTCATGGGATAGCTGACACTCCCATTGTGGGATGATTCCCCCCCAACCCCCGCCCCAAGATGTGCTGTAGGTATAGCATGACGTAGAGAAAAGCATGCCCTTAACACCCTCGCATGATCTCCCCTCACCCAGACCTTTCCTTTTTGTCCCTACCTGCACCACCAAGGCTGATTGCGCTGTCCACCCCATAGTTAAATATCACAGGCGTGGGGATTAGCGGTTTAAAAACCTTTCTGGTTACATTCCACTTCGCTTAAAATAACAGTTTGACATTTTGGGAAAATATACTTTATTCACTTTTTTTGTGAGAGTGTGAGTGTTGTGAGAATTAATAGCACTGTAAATATGAAGCTACAGTCAGCAGTTGTATTGCTTAGCTTAGCATAAAAACAGGAAACATGGCTGTTACTGAGCTTGGTAAAAAAACAAATATATATATCTCCACCTACCAGCCCCTCTAAAACTCGCTAATTATCGATACAAAAATCGTGTAAAAACAACAAATGGTGCTTTTACAACAGGTTAAATAAGCAAGATATAACAATTAGTGCGGTTGAGAAGTGCAGGTAGGTTGATATTATTTTCTTTGGACAGACCAAGGCGATTTCTTTAAAAATCCAACACCTAATGATGTCGTTTTCAACCTAGTCATATTTAATGATGTCACCCATGTGTTGTTCCCCAAATTTACATTAAGCTGACAGGCTGTAAGTTGTTTGGGTCTGCACTAGTAGTTTGTGAATATCAGTGGACTAATGAACTATTTCACGTCATTATATAGAATGAGAGCACTCTTTTTTTTTTTTTTTTAATGCAATATCTCATATGTTCCAACATTGTTCTGCTGTGTCAATTTAAATACCCTTTCTGTAATTGTTGTTTGTTTGTGAGTGTGCACAACAGTACGTACAGTCTTGTGTGGCATGATCATGTTCCAGTATAACCACTTTTTTCTGTACATCTTAAAATGAAATGGAAGTATGTAATCTAGAGCAGAAGAGTGTCTGAGATTGACAACTGGCTAGCATAAAACATAAGAGTTTTGTGACGTCTGTGTGCATGTTTTTGTTTTTAATGTTCCCTTCTCTGCCCAAATGTGCCTTTATCATCTATTAATAATAAAATCATTTTTTATTTTCTTATCCTAACAGAGCCTGAAAGAGGGACTAACTGTGCAGGAACGTATGAAGCTTTTTGAGGCAAAAGATTCCAAAAAGATTTGAACATCAAAAATCTGAAGTTTCTTTTCCCTTCCCTGACCTTGGTGTGTGGTCAGATTGCTACGGCCATGCCAGCATCAGCTGAAGACTCTTACAGGAAATGGAAAAAATCTGTCACGGTCAATTCTAAAACTGGACCTGCTGCTTCCATGCCTCTAATAAGTTGTCATACTTTTGTTTGTTTTTTTAAGTTAATGGAAAAAGTTTTATTGAATCAGTCCTGTGTAAGGTTTCTTTTTAAAAAAATACATAGATGGTATAATCTGTCCAAGTTGGAGATGTGTCAAATAAGCTGTGAGAGGGATACATGACAGCATTTTTATTGATCCTCCAGAATGCCAAAACAGACAGCAATACACAGTATGAATAATATATATTTCCCAATATGAATTAAGTATCTGCTGTATTTTATTATTGTTACAGTTTCTATATCTAATAATTTTTAATGTGTTTAATGTTGCACCAGTTCTGTTGTACATAACTACTGGATATATGTAAGAGTATGGTTTGCTATTGATTGTTGGGGCATCTGCTGTACTATAACTATGGTTTGATTGATAGTGGAAATCAATGTGATGCTTACCTTGCTTGTGTATGAGAGTTTTATAAAAATGGAGTGTCTGTGTGTGAAGGGGTAAAGAGGGGTGGGATTGCACTTATCACTTGACTACTTGAGGAATTTCTCTTTTATTATTTGTCTCAAATTGGTGTAGTGACTTCAAGTCAATTATTGCAGTGCAACCAAACATCCTGACTTCTGTCAAATTTAGTGAACAACCGTGACTTGTTAGTGATACTGGATTGTTGTTTTTTTTTTTTTAAGTTTCTTAAAACCTGAATTTGTGTTTGCTCACTTTTGACTTTGGTGTGAGAATATCATCTCAGAAAAACTATTTAGTACTTTGCATGACTGTACAGTATCATTTGAATTGCTGAATGATCATGTTGCCTCATTTTCCTACTTTATGCTTTAGTGTGGAACTCTTAACACTAATAAGCTTTGCTTTGCAAGTCCTACTGTTTAGGTGTTGAGATTGAAATGTTTTACTGTAAGCGGCAGTCTTGAAGCACTTGGCCCAATCCCTGACCTCTCACTGAAATCTAGTCGTGCCTCAACTGAGTAAAGAATATAAACATCCATGAAACCTGTGCAGCTATGGATACACACTGTATAGTATTCAAACCACGCCTTGTAAATATATATGCCACACGGAAGACTTCTGTGTTTTGTTTTAAACTTGTACCTTGCTCACTAGCTCTATATGAAATATATATATGAATATTTTTTATTTTCATTTGAATGTATAACGTCAAATAAATGAAGTGTTTGGAAATCTTGCAGTAACATGTTTTTGTTCCTGGAATAATGGAAATCCATGTGATGATGAACCAATGTAGCATTGGCGGATGGTGGTTAATGTTTCTCTTTCTATTGGAGACTCCTTAGTCACACAAAGTTACTCGAGCTTTGCACACTGTCAGGTGAGGTTATACGTTAAGTCATCACACCAACCAGACAGTGTGTAACAGAGCTTAGCTAGACGCTAAATATAGATTTTTACTTCTTGCAGTACTTTTCCAACTGTGCAGTAATATAATGGGCACAGAATAAACAAGAAGAGTGAGTCATTCTTACTGCTAGCTTTATATAGTTTCATAGCTACCTAAGACAATATTTATAAAATATTACTCACCAAAGCAAATTGTAAACATACTATTTTAAACCCATTACAAATGTATAATCTGATATCCAAATTTAGATAGTCAAATAACCTTAAATCCATCTGTTGAATTTAGTCCACAGTAAGTCTGCACAATGAAAACTACTTAAAACTCTAATGAAACATTGACAAAGCCAAAAAGTGTACACATCATTTATATATTAACAGAAAGGTAAGAGTACAGTGAAACTAATAACTGTAACAATAGTACTACAAAGGGTCATCCATATACAGTTAAAAATGTGTAACTCACAAACTACAAGTCATTCCAATACAACAACACAACAATATGACATTACATATTTTATTTGGTTGGTTTTAAACACTAATTTCCTATTAAACTGATTTTATTTGGTTAATATTTGGTAATTATCAGTACCAAGTTACAGCCTGGAAATTAAAATCTCACCAAACACTGCTCAATACACTTTGCAGTTTGTGAAAAGATAATAATGGGCTGATTGAAATATTTACAATTTGGTCTAGCCAATTAGCCGTGCCAACTCATCATCTCCTCCTCTTCCTCCCTCCTCCTCCTCCTCCTCATTTCCTTTTAAAGCCTCTATCAGTCTGACCCAGAAAGCGTCCTGCTCTTGTGGTTCCTTGGGCCACATCAGGTAGGTCTTCTTACGAACGATTCTGCGTAAGCGTGTGTAGGGTGACAGGCAGTGTTCGGGTATCTCCTCCAGGAACACCAGCAGCAGGACGTCACTGCCATCAAATAAAAGCCTCAGACTGGCCAGCTGAAACTCCACAGAGCACCACTCGCTTTGCAGGAAGTGACGTGTCACTACACAGATGGTGTGGCGAGAGTTGTAAATGGCTGCCTCGATGTTCTCCAGAACAGCAGCACCAGGGCGGAAGTCTCTGTGGTGGAGGCACAGTCTGAGCCTCTGTGCACCAGGAGCTGGCCTCTCTAGACTGGGCACCAGCTGTTTCATCACCCAGGCCTCATCCTTGGAGCTGTAGGAGATGAATGCATCATACTGGTATCTGGCTCCTGCTGCGCCCCTACGTCCACGTAGTTTTGCCTTGAGGGTGAGTAGCAGGTAGCGCAGAGTTGGGCCCTGTTTGTGCCAGGCCAGACACACACATACAGACAGCATATCCACCACAGAGCAGGCGATGAAGAGAGTGAAAGAAACCTGTTCATAGGAGCAGGCCTTATCGTCAAACTGCCACAGGTAGGTAGCTCCTCTGTTGTTGTCACACTGCAGGTTGTACAGGCGGGACACCTGGAAGGGAAACAAGAAGATTTATACAGTCATAAGAAGTCATAGCCATATACTTTTGGTTGGTTTATAACCTACATTAATACTTGTCCAAATTACCTGGGTTTGAGTGTTGTGGATGGCCCAGCTCTTGAACCAGACGTTATCACAGGTACAGGAAAGTGGGTTATCTGTGATGTCCAATATACGCAATCTAGAAAGACACACAAACATGCACTAAGATTGACTTTTTAATTAAATTCACACCAAATATCTATATGCCAGCACAGATAAAGTGGACAGCCCATAAAACCCCAACTTGCTGTTAGTAGCTATGCTGTTTCCTCCTCTTTAAAGGCTGCTGATGGTAGCTTGAGAGTATCTTTATGGTATCTTCTCAACTCTTGGTGAGAAAGATTATTATTTCTCAACATCTCAAAACTATTTCTTTATGAGCTGCTTGCCAAACATTTCAGTAGCTCCTCTACCTTGGCAGAGCATCCAGCATCATTTTGTCTATGGTGTGGATGTGGTTTGACTGGACTTTGAGGGTTTCCAGTGTATTATCTGGAGGCAGCAGGTTAGCAGGCAGAGCATCAAGGTCTGCCCTGTAAAGAGTCAGCTTCTTCAGTGTTTTCAGAGGGGACAACACTGCACTCAGGTTGGTGGTTTTCATAACCACTCCAGCAATGTACAGGTATTTCAAATTGACCAGAGGAACTAAAGCGTCAGGATGGAAGTCGATCTTGATGCTGTGCCCGATGGCAACTGAGATAAGCTGACTTGGACCTTGGAAGAAATGTGGTCCAATGTTACCAATGCCACGACCTCCGGGCCCCTGGTAGTTCATCTCCAGATACTGCAAATTAGACATGGAAGATAGACAGGTAAACAGATAACACAATAGATTTATACACATAGTGCATCACTCTTCTTCATTACTGACCAAAAAAATATGTCATACCTCCAGAGAAGTAAGGTTGATGAAAGGACTCTCATAGGATTTAAAATGAAGGCGGTTGTTGTACAGAACAAATCCCTTCAAATTCGTCAGGCCATACAGAATAGATGGTGTCAGCCTCTTGATGCGGTTTCCACTTAAGTCCAGGTATCTAATGGACAGAGAGATGTGTTAAATAAATAGACAATGAGCTAAATTGAGAAACGCTGTACAGACAAGCAGAGAATACTCAGTACTCAAGCTTTGTCAGGTCTTGGAAGGAGCCTTCTTCAATGAAATCAATGATGTTCAAACTGAGGTTGAGCTTCTTTAGCCTCCGTAGCTTACTGAAGGGCTTCCTGGTGATGTATTTTAGAAGGTTAAACTGCAGGTAGAGCTGCTCCAGTGTAGTAAGGGCACTGAATACATTTGGTGGCAACTCAGTGATGTCATTTTTCATGAGAGACAGGCGATTCAGTTTCTTTAGGGGGATAAACCACTCAGGGTCAATGTCACGAATGTTGCTCTTGTCGAAGCTTAAAAAGGTGAGGTGGGTCAGGCCTTTGAACGTGTCCTGTTGAATGACAACCTTATTTTGATTCAGCTGCAGTGTTTTCAGTCCCTGGTAACCACCAAATGTGGTACGAGATATCTGCTTCAACCCACAGTTGATGAGATAAAGCCTGCTTGTTTTCCCCCTCCCCAGCGACAACTGGGCAACATTCCCAAGGTTTGCATCCGCAATAACGACCACGTGTGGAGTGGCGCAGTCCAGCAGGGTGGTGTTAGTCTGAGGTAACCTGGATCCTTTTAAGTCAACCTGTATCAAAGGAAATTCATATTATATTTCTTTAAAAAAAATAGATGTTACATAAGCAAGAAGATGTTGTGTCTCAAGAAGTCCACATACCTCTAATCTCTCAAGTTTATCCATTTCTTTCAGCAATCCACAGATAGTCAATGGAGATTTCTCCACAAACAGAGAAAATTCCACCTCAGAGAGATTCTTCTTTGTCTCTGCAGAGAGTCCCATCAGCATCTCTGCTTTAACTCCCTTACAAAGCAGAATCTTCAGTCTGGGGTTGGAGGCAAAAGCATCTGCCTGCAGCTCCAGCTTTGAGTTGTTGGACAGCCTGATGTACTCAAGGGCAGGAAAACAGCTCACATTAACCCTCTGGATGTTGTTTGCGAGAAGATCGAGCTGCTGAAGAGTGGAAGATGCTCCACAGCTGAAGTTCTTCAGCTTGTTCAGAGACAGATTGATTTCTTTAATCGCTGGGAGGGAATTGAAGAGACTTGGAGAGAATGTTGAAAGCATGTTGTGGGTCAGAAGCAGGATTTTCAGCCTGGGGAGTCCATCAAAGCCATTGGAGTGGATGTGTAAGATGTTGTTGCAAGTGAGATTGAGAAAATCCAGAACATCCAGGCCTCTGAATTCTCCTCCTTTTAGAGAGACCAGTTGATTCTGGCTCAGGTCCAGGCTTTTGAGCCCAAACACCCGACTGAATGATCCAGATGGGATAACTCTGATCTTGTTCTTAGACAGGTTGATTGTTGTTATGTTATCTGGGAGCATGCTAATGACATCAGAGAGGTTAGCAATGTTCTGGTTGAAGCACCACATGGTGGTTGTCATGGGGTAGTTCTGAGAGCAGCCTTTAAAGCCGAAACCACAGCAGGCCGAGGCATTGAGCAAAAGCAGGAACAGAAGAGTTTGCACCATCTTTACTCGGCAGCTGACCAAAGAAATATAAAAATGTGTTAAGAGAGAAAAACCTTGTGATGCAGGATAATCTCACAAAGTTGCTGCACTGACATTTGAGAAAACATCTGCAGTAGGCCTATCTGATTTTTTGGCCTCTTGAGGGAAAACAAGTTAGGGCAAGGTGAACCTAAGGGCAACTGACAATATTGAATTAATATGACAACTTTTACAGTGCTGTACATTATAAAAGATCTCCCTTACCTTTTACTGTATGTTGTTCCTCTTACGTACTTCCACTCTGACTCTGTACCGTGATATATTTAATATAAATACCTAACTTTACATTTTTATTCAGTCTAGATTTGAGCATTACAGTATCACTAAGCGTGTCCCAACCCTAACAATTACAAAATATATTAACATACCCTTTTATGCTCCTCTTATGCACCTTCAGTTTGCACAACTTCTTATTATAACTGGTATCACTTGAGGAAGGAAGTTTTGTTCACGTCACTCTAAACACTTCACACTACTGAAAATAGTTCTTGTTCTGACTTCTGTGTTTTGTTTTAAACTTGTGCCTTGCTCACTATCTCTATATGAAATATATATGAATATTTTTTATTTTCATTTGAATGTATAACGTCAAATAAATGAAGTGTTTGGAAATCTTAGAGTAACATGTTTTTGTTCCTGGAATAATGGTAAATCCATGTGATGATGAACCAATGTAGCATTGGCGGATGTAATGTTTTTCTTTCTATTGGAGACTCCTTAGTCACACAAAGTTACTCGAGCTTAGAAAACTGTCAGGTGAGGTTATACATTAAGTCATCACACCAACCAGTGTGTAAACAGAGCTTAGCTAGAAGCTAAATATAGATTTTTTTTACTTCTTGCAGTACTTTTCCAACTGTGCAGTAATATAATGGGCACAGAATAAACAAGAAGAGTGAGTCATTCTTACTTCTAGCTTTATATAGTTTCATAGCTACCTAAGACAATATTTATAAAATATTACTCACCAAAGCAAATTGTAAACATACTATTTTAAACCCATTACAAATGTATAATCTGATATGCAAATTTAAAATCTAGAAAGACACACATAAGATCGCCTTTACCTTTTACTTTATGTTGTTCCTCTTACTTACTTCCACTCTGACTCTTAAATATATCACGGTACACGTGATATATTTAATATAAATACCTAACTTTACATTTTTATTCAGTATAGACTTGAGCATTACAGTATCACTAAGCATGTCCCAACCCTAACAATTACAAAATATATGAACATACCCTTTTATGCTCCTCTTATGCTCCTTCAGTTTTTACAACTTCTTATTATAACTGACATCACTTGAGGAAGGAAGTTTTGTTCACTTCACACTACTGAAAACAGTTCTTGTTCTGGTCAGTTGTCTTGGTAATGGCATTTAAAGACACACTGATTGTGACTGTGACTGAGAGAATGTGGTACAATGTCGGTGCTCAATGTACCACGCTGTCCCTCCAGCTCTAAATCATCTGTCCACATGAGGGCGCTATCTACTTGGATCCTGGCGCTACATCAGAGCGAGTGCAATGCTTTTCATGTTTAAAACTTCCATATTGGCATTTAGCAGAGACTCTTAAACCAGTCAGACCAGATCAGGTGATTTTTTTCTTCTTAACAAGAAATATTTGCTTTATTTTTCTATGTATCTATTTCTTAATATATATTATGCATAAAACCTTAAATTGTTATTGTTTGCAAATATTTTGTATAATATTGTAAATATATTGTTTTTATAGAACATAGTAGTAAGTAAATTATTTTATTTAATTAAAATATGGTTTCTGAAATAACTCGACATTTAGCCAATATAAAGTCTAAACTGAAAAAATGAAAAGGATGAGGCAGGCATTTGGACCTAAACATCCACTGTGGCCTCTTCTGGTCATGGCAGCTGACCTTTGCTTCTACATCTTGAGTGTGAGGGTGGTGAAGGGGCCAGACGACATGGGGCAGCACAGTGCGAGGTGCCTATCCTGGGGGCGACAGGTAGTCCTCCATTTAGTCTGTGGAGCTCAACCCTGGGGCCCTGACCTTTGCAGGGGGGCTCCTCCTGAATCCACGAGCAGAGGCACAGGTGACGCCACTGATGGCAGTTTAGCTTAAGGAGCTACTTCACCTTTAGTACAGCCACCTGACTATGTCAGGGCCAATAGAGCGGAGTCAGGTGGTGCAGCCACTATCAATCTGTTTGACGCTTATTTAGACTCTAAATGATTGTGTTGATGGCATTTAGCCTTATGGTGTTACCCAAGAGGACTGAACAACAAACACAAAGAACATCACAAAGATGAATTTATGTTTAAATAATTTGTCCCCATTTTACATTTTATATTCCACTTTAATAAAAAGAATGAAACTCTTTGTTTTACTCAGTTTATTCAAAGAAATACAGTGTGTATAATACAATTTATTGTCATCAAGTGAAATAATGCAGTCCAACATGACATTATCCATATAAAACCATTTACCTTTTAAAACATTTTACTTACATTTATTAAGTAATTACAATATTTACAAAACCATTTAAAAGATTGTCTCTCAATATGATTTTAATGGACTTAATTGTTCAAATTATTCTGATGTAAATTATTGTTGCTGATGTTACATTTTTAAAATTATTTTTAGGAGAATATTATTGTAACAATCAATGTCCACAGTGCATTTGTAAGACTTTCCTTTCAAATATTGTCATTCATTCTCTGTTTGTCTTATAAGGTGCAAAATGTTCGAGGTTTTTGTGGAGTTAAACTGAGAATAAGAGCGACAGTCCTCCTCCAGCCAGTGAAAATCAAATACATGCCAGTAATAATGAAGACAACTGCATTTGAACAACTGTATGGAATCAGTTATGTTACAGTCAGAAGAACAGGAGTTTAATTGTCAGTCGCTGTCAAAGGGCTCAGGGGACACTGGGCTTCTAGTCGCTGTATGGACGGGGGTCTCTTTGGGGTTTTGGCAGAGGAGGGGATGTCAGTGAACACCACTGATCGGCCGTCGGGGCAGAGCAGAACGCTGGAGTCCGCCTCACACTTTGTGGCTCTGCTTGGCCATAAGGCCTCAGCAGAACTGGGCCTTACGCCAAGACCACCGGGAGAGAGAACCTCTGTGTTTACCACCGATGCTTGACTCATCTTTATCAGCATGTCCAAAGACTGCTTACGACTCTCCAAAGAAGCCTTCATCGCCTTCCTCTCGCTCTCATTCTCTTCTTCCTCCTTTTTATCCTCCAGCTCCTCGTCCTCCTCCTCTGTCTCTGTCGTGTTGTCTCTAAGGCTGGCATCCTCTCTCATGCTGTGGTCACCAACCAACTCTGACGAGACCCTCTTGACTGACAGGTCGAGAGGCCCGTCGCTCTGGCGAGCCGTCCGCTCCAGCGCCTGGTGGATGTGGGAAAGCTCGCTGCGGATTTTGCTCAGGTGTTCCCAGAGGTGGCGCTGGGCAGGAAGGTCCTCCTTTTCTAGGTGGGAGATTTTGCGCTCAGCCTCCTGGTACTCCTGCAAGGCCTTGGAGAGGTCACTGAGGAGAGCAGCCACTGACTCTGAAGCTCCCTCCCCCATTTTCTGGGCAGCAGTTGTGTCCTGGCTGTTGGGTCCTCCACAGGTAGAAAGAGAGGATGTTTCACTGTTGGGACTGGTGAGAGGATTGTTGTACCACAGTTCAGTAGGCCGGGTCTGAAGCTGGGCATCCTGTAAACTGAGAATGGGAGAAGTTTAAGGGCTTTTTTTCGTTACATAAATGAGACTACAGTAAAACAAAATTAAGTACCCCTGCATTTGTAATATTCCCTCTAGATGATTACATGATGGAAAAAGTAGTGATCATTCTCCTACTGCTACTACTACTATTATTATTAAAAAATAACATTTTATGGAAATCTTTACCTTCCATGGAAGAGAAGTTTGTCTGCTGCCATATTTAGATTTGATGCAGTCTGAATATTCTTCAGAAAGTCCAGAGTGAAACCCACGGCCGGCTTCTTGTCCACGGGTGCCTCATGGTTCCCCAGTGGGGCCCCTGTCCTCTTGAGGCCCCAGCTGGCTTTACCTTCCTTGGCTGTAGCCTGCAGTTTATCCCCCAACCTGTACCCCTGGTCAGGGGAGTCCCTCTGAGGTGATACCCAGCCAGTAGGGGAGACTGTGGTGGTCCCTGGCCGCAAAGCAGGCACTTTCCACAGATTTACTTTGGGCTGGAAGCCAGACAGGGGATTCACTTCTAGATTGTTTGTGGATGTCTTGAGCACTTTGCTGGCATCGCTATGACTAGAGGCCGTTCCGAATGCGTGCTCACACAGAAAGGGGTAGTAGAGACGAGGGGGGATTAGAGCTCTGTCTGTGTGGGTGCTGGAGGCTGGGTGCATCAGTTGAGCGGCCGATGCCAGGAAGGGAAGCTGGGCAAGCTGCGCGTGGGTCTGGGCACTGACACCCGTGGCAGCTGTGGGAATGGCTGAGTTCATGTAGGAGAAGAGGCTGGGGCTGATGGGGTAACCCACCCCGAGCATTGACAGGTTGAGTCCAGTGGGATCCTGGTAATCCACCAGGTTCGGCGGAGGAGGGTAACAAGGGATTGAACTACTCACTCTGGGCTGAGCTCCTTCAGCTTTTGCCTTAGTGTGGCTGGATGCTAACAACCGCCACTGCTCCGACAGCAGGCCAGGAGCTGTTAGACATGTCTTGGATAGCTTGTAGTGTTTGAGCTGGGCCTCTACCTCTACTGAGCGCGCCCGTAAAAGCTGATCTTCCAGGGAGAGCATGTCAGCCATCAGAAGTTCTGATTCTGGCTGTTTGGTTTTCTTGGTAGCGCACTCTGCGGCGTCTCCTCTGTTGTTACCGGAGCTCTCTTTCGTCAGCCCAGTGACCTCCACTCCCTCTCCTCGTCCTCCCTCTTCCTCATCTTCTGCTCCCTGGCTTTCCCTGTCCTCCCCTTCCTCCTCCACAGCCCTTCGTTGCCTCTGTCTCTCCTCAGTCCCTGTTACCTGCTCTAGCCCATCTTTCCCAGTAGCTTGAAGGCTGTGTGCCTGCTGAAAGGGCCGTAGCTGCTCTGGGTGCAGGATGTTGCCCTTTTTATATGGCCAGTCTGACTCTATGAGCAGAGAAAGGGAGTTCTTGCACAGGCTGTACTTCATATGGTTGTACAGGTGGGACTTTTCCATGCAGGTGAAGGGGCACTGGAAGCATTTGTAGTTGTAGGGTTTGCCCCACGGCCGGGGAATATAGTGAGGCTTCTTAGGCTTGCGCTCCTTGTGTTTGCTGGCAGACGTCACTTTACAAGCATCGTCCTTGGACATGATTGTGTCTTGATATTTGTAAAGATTGTGTGATTGTATTAAAATGATTTTTAATTATTTTCTTTTGTGCCAGGGTACATTTCATTGGATGTGAGTTTTTCTCAGGTAGATGAAAAAGAGCATTTCTTGACCTGTGAACACACAAGACCGTTTTGTATAAGTAAAGGGGATAAACTTGAAAACAGCAAAACATCAACAGTTCAGAAACAACAAATAGAAAGATTAGGCATTTTACATTTTACCAATATCTTTCAATTTCACTTCCTTATTTGTCCTGAAAAGCTTGCAGCTTGCAGGAATGCAGCCCTGTAAGAAATCTAAATATCGGAGATACAGTTGTGTGTGCACTGAGGGGTGGTATATATCATTATGCACATATGTGTATTATGAGACCACATTTGTTGCCTGCCTAAGCTGAGGGTTGCCACTAACCTAACTGCAGGGAGGCCCACGCTGCTCTGTTCTCACTTTACCTGCCACTACTCATTAGTTCCACTGCAGTACCAGGCGCTAGCAGGGTCCAGGGCTGGGGGGCAAACAGGGTTGTCACAGGGGACTCTGCACCTGTGCAGGGGGCCCTAACAACACTCATAGGCCCGCATGAGTTTCGGGCCGGACCCTCGGAGGTCGGCTACAGGCACAACACAGGCCCAGGCTGAGGGTTGCAGAGAGGTGGGTGTAGAAGGGAGATAGAGGAGTTGGGGGTTTGGGGCCTGGTTCCTAATGAGAGCCTGGCGTCATGCCTATAGGGCGTCATTAGTGCCAGGTCTGGGATCTGGGTCAGGACATGGTGCATAAGTTCAACTGCTCTCCTGTACTCTGTCTCGCCTTACTACCTCTGGAGTGCTATTATGAGCAATACTAGCATAATTACATTGTAATTATAAGGCATTATGATGTACGATATATTATACTGAAGGAATTTTTAAAAGGCTTTAATTTTTGTGATGGATTCTAGGTTTTGTAACTTGATTGGTGTCTTATAAGAAAGGATAAATTTATATGTATTTATGTATTTATATTGTATTATTTTACGTTATTTTATTTTGTAGTTTTGAAGTGATCTGCTATTTATTAATGTAAACTGTTCACTTTCTTATGTTCTCTTTTTTCATTTTTATCTTCATTATTTAAGACACGAACCCACAGCATCAGTTTAATTACTACCCTTCTCTCCACTAATCCCCAAAAATAAATTTAAATCCCCTACAATAAATGTTCTTTTTTTTTCATCTGTTAAATATCAGAAACTTTGTGATCTTTTTATACTTTAAGCCAGGCTGTTGGGTGGACCCTGCGGTGAAAGAAGATGTGAGGAGGAGTGTGCTCCTCAATTTAAAACACTCTGCTCTGAGGCTTTTATTTTGTCTTTTTCCCCAGGTCATTCAAAGATGAAAGTCTGTGTGATGTTCAGGGTCCAAACTGAAGTAAAAATAAACTTCACCAACCAGTCTTTTTTCTGTCTTACACAGACTGCTCGTGACAAAGTTTTGAGATAAAGGCCAGCGAAGCACACACAGGTGATGGATGGCCGGTCACACTGAGAGACAGCAGACAAGCTCATCTATAAAACCCACAACACGATGATGGGTGACGATAATAGACACAGTGAGTCTAACACAGGATGGCAGGCTGTTACCAACTGCTCTCCCAATTGGACCCTCAGAATTCGCTCGTTTAGTGGCTGACCATTCGATTGGCTCACTTGTCCGCCCCGGGGCTCTGACCTGGGCTTTGAGCTCATAATGGAGCCTAACAGCTGCTAGTACGAACCAATCAATAAAAATCATTTTTACAGTAGATTTTTTTTCCTCTCCTGGCCTCTGCTATCCGCTGGCCTCTCCACTGACTGTGCACTTTGGCCCCCCACTGCCCCATATCCAAACCCTGCGGTCATGTTTTAAGCTTTTAGGGTTGATGATCAAACAAGCCTAACCGCTTGAACATCTATTGTTGCAATTAAGGAGGTTCACCACACTAAAAGCTTTGACAAGTAACATGCAACAGCAGCAACACCACTGACAGCCTATGGGACGGGCTATTTGTACAGTAAGCAAATGAACACAGTGACTGTAACTCAAATTGTTTTTAAGCTCTTGTGTTTTTTAAATTCAAACTTTTAGTTAAACAATTTACCTTAGAAGGTTGTCAGGATGATGAGCTGGTTGTCTGGAAAAGAAGAAAGAGATCACACATTTATTGTCAGTAGTCAGTAGTAGTTAATCTCTGTTTCATATTTCAGTTCTGATATAATAAACCAGAAACAAATATCCTTCTAATTCAATTTGATGATGCAACCAAACAGCTGTTTAAGAAAACACATTTTCTACAAGCAAAAGCCTTGACTTTATTGTATCCACCAATAGAAAAATTATAAACTGGCATTTACATTTGACGTGCAAACATCAGATGATGCTGCTGGTGATAAATTGATTCTAGATTAATATAATAATTCTTAGTTACAGGAAATGCATCCTAATTACATTTTATAATGCTGTGTAATTATAACATTCAAATGATTAATTAAATTTGTGGAAATGCAGTGTATACAATTGACCTTTAGTTTAACTTAAAATATAAAATAAACTACAGTTTATAACATTTTGTGACCACATTAAGTATTAAACATCAGCAAACTACATTAAAACTAAGCTCATACTGAAACCAAACACTTTTATATTTTAAAAACTACAAAATAAAATGCAACAACACCAAAGGCATTTTTTAAATGCATGCAAAGGCTCCATGCACAGCAGGACTCTCCTTAAATTTAATTTTCTTTTTTTTTTTAAATATTACTTAATCTTGACAAACCAACCTGCGTGCATACTAGGAGCTACTTGGAAGTAGAAGAGGAAATGTATTCATCCGTACCTGGAGAGCGTCCCGGTGTGGCTGGCTGTCACTCCTCTGCAGCGGCACTGAGAGGGCAGCGCGTCCCGCTCAAATAGGAGCGCAGGAGCGAGTGTGGAGATATATATTGACTGGGAGCATTGCCCGCAGGCGCTACAATATAGCAGCTCCCCTCCTCCCTCCCCTCTCCTCCCTTCCCCCCCCGGATTGTCAAACGTGGTCTCTACCTTACAGCCAGGATACAATATAACAACTTACACAATATTGGCAAAGGTTAGGTTGTGATGGTTTCTCGTTATAACGGAGAGTAGAGATGACATTTGTCTCGGTTAATTTCTCCATTATGAGGTCATTTAAAGGCAGCTCCATGAAAGTTTTTTGTGTTGTTGTTTTTATACCCCGAAAGCTGGAACCATTAAATGCTTAATTAGCTGTTTGATTTGAACCATTTTGAAAGACATTTAAAAATTTACTCAACACATATTACATTAGTAATAGTAATAGTTAAGGTAATAGTTAAGGTAATAGTAAAAAAAAAAGTAATAGTTACAAATACTGGCACAATATTTCATAATGAAAATTAATGATGCTTAAGACAGGATGATTTCCAGCAGAGGTAATTCAAAACACAACTAGTTCTCCAAGTGCTGAAAAAACAACTTTTCTGTAAAAACACACTCTTTTATGTTAACCTCTCTATCTATCTATCTATCTATGTATCTGTAGGCCAGTGTTGATGCAGGTTAATTGGGGAAATCAGAAGCTACAACAAAAACTGATGTGCTGTGGAGAATATTCCTGGCGTCTCTCAGATTATTACAGATATCTTTTTCACACCAGAGACCTTGCAATTCCCGCTTTTCTGCTGCTCTGAAAAATATAGTTAAACATTTGAATGCAGACTATTGTTCCCTAGTTTTCCATCCATTTTCACTCACTATATCCATTTTTGTAATGTGCAATGGATTACACTAAAATATTTATCTGAAAAAGCTTTTCTTACAGTAAGAATTGGACCACATGTATCTCTGTATGCATTGATCAGTGATAGGATGTGAATTTCTGTGGTCATGTCTGCATGTCTGTGTGCGGGTGTGTCTGTGAGTGTTTGAAAGGTAAAAGTGAGTGCACGTGTCTGCATGCCTCTAACACAGTAAATATGAGCGTTAAAGTCAGCCAGTGGAGGTAAAAGTGTGTTTTGTCTGGGTTTTTTTTGTTACTTCACCTGCATCACCAACAATATGCAGGCAGCTGGGTGTTAATGGGTGTAGGGGGGTTGGCATTTGGAGCAGCCTCCCTCTAAGTGTGCAGTGGTTCAGGATGCTGGATGGGTTACTGACATGAACTGGAAGATCACATCCACAGGCAATGACTGACATGTGTGTCTTCTGACCCTTACCTGTCGTTCTTATTTATCCCTTTGTCTCACACTCCTCTTTCTTTTCCTCTTACACTTCTTCTAAATCTAACCCCAACCTCTTAATCTCTCATTTCTCTCTCTCTCTCTCTCTCTCTCTCTCTCTCTCTCTCTCTCTCTCTCTCTCTCTCCTCCCTCCACCCCTGGCTCTTTTAGCCTGTGGCGGGCTTTGGGTCAACTCCAGCTTTCTTCATTTCCCTCCTCTGGCTGGGTGGGAAGCGCGCATGCGAGCCCCCTTTGAGAAATGTCAGTGTCCGTGTGCCGGGAAAGTCGGGGGCCCTTCACGAGCCATCAGACCCGCTGTCACATTGAGGCAGCCAAATGGAGACTGACAGGCCACTACATAGAGCCTAACCATCTGTACCAAATGTGACAGCAGGGGAAAGAGGATGTCTGGTAAATCAGGAGGAACGACAGGAGCGCACTATGACACGGAGGAGGAAGTAGAGAGGGAAAAGAGGCAAGAGAAAGACCCTCCAGTTCTTAAAGTGCAGGCACATGGGAGATGATGTCAGTTATTTTTCCAACAGAATAAGAGACTGTTTCTCTCCAACTACAGAGACACTTGGGAGACTGTGTCAGTTTCTACCGGTTAGGTATAAGTGTGTTAAGTGAGGACTGACTCCTTCACTGCTGCCACTTCCTTCAGCCTCTTTGTTGTCAGATCCACAAGTCCGTTGTGGTTTGGGGAGAGATTGTTGGTTGTTAGAGATGTTTCAGCCTACATGAAGTCTAACATTGTTGATTGGACCCAAACAATGTGTCCTGCACTGATTTCTCCAAACTCCTATGAATTAATTTTAAATTGTAGTTATGATCTACAAATTTTCCGGAAATGTGGAATAACTGGGGAATCTATAAAGAACCTCAAATATTCTCATTATGATTCTGGGGTGCAGATATAACAACTGCGTTTTAGTTTTCAAATATTTCACTGTGTTTACGTGTGATATATGAAACAATGACACAAGCAAATACATAATATTTGTGATATTGCTGTACAGTGTGGACAAATGTTTCATAACATATAATAATGAAAACCTATTTATTAGGTTTAGTGGAGTTAAATTAACTTAAACGAGTAATATAATAATATGTGATGTTTTGCCCCTGAATCAAATGAATAAAAATAGTGTTGCTATTTTATATATATATATAAATATATTTAGCCACAAGCCCATTAAGTGCATACATACAAAAAAAAAAAAAATCTAAAATGAAACATGTGGCAGATCATTGCCTTTGGTGCTAAATTTTAATACACTCACAACATTTTGTGATATTAATCAGTTAGCGTTATCTAAAATAAGTATTCTAATCTTATCGTATTAATAAAGCATTTTCTTCCTAGTGATGACAGATAACATTTTTGCCACACAATCATGCTCAATCTGTAGCAGTGACATAATGTATAATTCATTTTAAGAACTCAAAAATAATGTTAGATATCTCACCCATAATATTAACTTGTACCTGTGGTACTAACAGTCCACTGGGAGAGTATCAGATGCTGACTAACAAAATAACTTTAGGCTGAGAAGTTTTACTTCTTTGCTTCTTTGTATAATTGATTAAATCACAAAGATTGCTATTGTATTTCCATTTTAATGTTTTTTATTTATTTGAAGAGCACAAAAGACCACATTTACGGGTTACAGGTTGAACTGTAATCTTTATTTAGTTATGTATAAAGTATGTATAAAATTGTTTGATTTCTTTATTCATTTCCTGTGGAAGGTTATAAATCACTTTAGCCTGTATTTAATGATTAAATTAAATCAATATTTCAAGACAAATTATTAATGTTGTCAGTAAGTCATTGAATAAGAAGGGGGATATTACACAGGGCCTTGATTTGGCTTTTGCCTTTTTTCTTGGTTGCATATTAATCCTTAATTTACAAATAACAAAACAAAAACTAAACACAAAAAAAACCCCTAGATATTCTCCCCAAAAGTTGTTATACTCCAAGTCTAAAAGTATCCAAATGCAAACTGCAGTGTTAACCTTCAGCAGGAAAAGTAGGAATACGAAGAAACTGAGACTTGCAGTGTGAACACAGAACTCTCCTGGCAAGTTAAGAGAGTTGAGGGTCCTTATGGAGCGGCATCTGGGGAGGCTGACAGGAGCACTCTATTACCACTCAGAGAAAGGAACCTGAGGGCTGCAACAACACCGCTACCAGGGAGATCCAGCTGTGCAGATGCCTCTAAACTCTCACACACACACACACACACACACACACACACAATCAAACCAATGCAAATTAAGAAAGAATCCTCAACACACACATTCACCCACCATCCGACAAGATGGACTATATGTTGTAATAGAAAGATATAGATAGGAATATGACTGAGTAAACAGCGACCTCTAACCCACGGTGAGCCTTCAGCTCTTTCTACTGCCTGAGTTTTAGGCCTAAGGTGGAATAGCTAACAGCTCCTCTCTTAGCCTGCGCTGCTGGGCACATTAACTAAACTCATATCGCTCTCAGCCACTATCAATTATTCACCAACCCCCTCCCCTCTTTCTCCTCTTTCCCCTAGTTTTCAAAGGAGAACAACTCCAACAGCCATCCCCAGTTTTACTAACAGCCACAGTGACAAAACAACTTCATGCCCTTGGTGACTTCCTTTGGTTTTCTTTAGCACCTTGTGTGTTTTATGTCTTCAAAATATCATTATAGTCTTAATGATATTCTTTAACATGCAAATAACTCTCTTACATCATTGTTGCAATAATATAGTTTATATATGCTGCAGCTGCTCCATGTATAATTGAGCTAATTTTTCACAATGCTGGAGCATAAATTGAACATTTCTAGTGTTTTTGCTTTTTCCTTCCAGGCACTTCCCGGAGCAAGTGGAGCTTCAGTGTTTTGCTCAAGGACACTTCAGCAGGATAGAACCCAAACCAGCAACTGAATGCAGTATCTCAAAGTACTTGACCACACTGCAACTTGGATGATGATGGATGATGATGGTCTTGATTGTTATGACTGTGGAGTGCAAAATGTACAGTGTGTGATTACTGTGATAATGTTTTGTGCTATGATTGGACTGATGTCTCAATTTTCTTCTTGGGTTTTTTTCTGCGGTTTCTTGCTGAGGGTTAGATGGGAAGATTGATACCAGTCAAAAATTTGTATGCTAAATATATTTGTACAGTCTGCAGTTGGCTAGTTTAGCATAGCATAAAGACTGGAAACAGAGGAAAACAGCTACCCTGGCTCTGTGCAATGGTAAAGAATTGGCCAATCAGCACCTATGAAACCCACTAATTAACATGTTGCACCTCATTTGTTTAAATAAAAGTGTAAAAATGACAAACTGTGGTAATGCTGGAGGTTATGTGTAGAACTGTTTCTTGGACGGGAGCTGGAGTTTCTGCTGGTTGCCAACCTCATGGTGATAACAAGGCTCCAGGAAGTCACTGCTCCCAGCCAAGACATAGTCCCACACATAACCCATGTATTAATTAGTGAGTTTTTGAGGTGGTGGTAGCTAGATTTTGTGACCTCTGGACAGAGCCAGGCAAGCTGTTTCTGTCTGACTACAGTCTTTGTACTAAAGTGCGCTAACAAGCTACTAACTGCACCTTCATATTTAATGGACAGACGTGAGAGTGGTACCTTTTCATCTACCACTTTGCTAGCGAGTGGATAAGTGTCTGCAAAACAATTTCTGACAAAGG